GTTATTTATGTATTTGCTTCATAGTTTGCAGAGACCTGTCAGTATCAGGAGAGCTTGAGGATTTGGATTCCCAGAATGTCAGTATATTACAATTGAATTCTTAATGGTAACTTTAGCACCTTTTATTTATTGTTTCTTTTGGTTATTTTTGCTGGTATAAAAAAAAGTTGAAAAAGCCTTTTAGTTGAATCGTGCCACCTACATGCCTATACTGTTAACCCTACTGGCTTGGAAAAAAAGTCTGGTGTTCTTGTGCATAGAAGTTTATAATAGCCTCAAGACAAGAGCAGAAGAAGTATGTTTGATTTTGATTTTCTTTCCCCCACTTTTTTTTTGGGTGGATTTTTTGAATGTAAAGTTAGATTATAAAGACAAAAGTGCACACAGCTTCTGATGAAAATTTAAACTAGGCTTATATGATAATGGTGTCTTTCCAGATCTTTCTCACCTCACCCCCTCTCTCTTTCTCTGTATCCTTCCATCTCTGCAGCATTGCTAGTGTTTTAGAGTAAATTTACAGACTTGAACACCAGATGGTGTTCTCAGCAGAACTGTGACGTGTATGCTAATCCAAAATAACAGCAGCAAAAGAAGCAACCCCATAGACTGAAGTTTAAGTTCCATCCTTTTTTTTTTTTTTTAAAAATAAATCCTCAAATCCTGATTGTTTTCACATAGAGTAGTAGTAGCTTTGTTTTCCTTTAGTCTCTGCAACAGGAAATGTTTCAAGGGAAACTTTACATGAGGCCTCTGGTTATCCTGAGAGTTAGCCCCTGTAGGGACGTTTTTTTATTGATTGTTGAGGATTTTCAAAAGTTTTTCAAGCTGTAGTCTTTTCAAACACATCTTCTGCACATTACAATAAGACACACGGTTCAATAAAGCATTTTCAAGACTGTTGCTTAGTTGATTTTCTTTGGTTTTGATGTATTATGCAGACAGTTCTGTTCCAGAAATTTCTGCAGCTGTCTCTAATTCCAACTGTATACAAAATCTGTTCACGCAGAATCCGAGGTGATTTACATAGTCATGTTTCAAAACCACATGCTTTGGCAGGTGCTGAAGTATGTCATCCTTGACTCTCCACAGGTAGGTGAATTCAAGTTTCCACAGAACAAGATGCATTCAAAAATAGGCTTTTCTCAGCGTGATGGTGTTGACCATCTATGTGTGGCTGGTCTGCAGAGGATACTTCTTGTTGCCTGGCTTCCATACTCCACATGCTTTGAAGAGGACCCGTGTTTCTTTAGAGACTGAATATATGCTGAGTGGGATCTAAAGCTCTCCTGGGGCATCACATTAACTTGTACAGATCTTCAGTTGTTCAGGGTTTTTAGGTTTAGAAATTATACAAAATAGCTACTGGGAGGAAGATATTTATTGCAAAACTCCTGGAATGCAGCGAGACCTGTATCAGAGCTCGGTGTTAGTCTGGAAGCTTTGGGTGCAGGGGAGGTTCTGGTGCTGGATACACCCAGGTCCTGGGGATGGGCTGGGGGTTGTGCCTCTGCCCTGCTCTGTCTTCCCCTGTCAGTGTGTCTCCAGCCGTGCTGTGGGCAGAGAGCGTCCCGGCCTTCATCCTGAGGAGCAGGGACTGGCAGAGCCTTTTTGGGGAGGGGGCAGACGAAAGGACAAGGTCTTGTTGCCAGTGTGTTACAGTAGTTGAAGGGGTACACAGTACCTGTTTGAAGGTGATGGGGAACAAGTCCCACCACCCTGTCCATGGAAAAGTTACATGGAATTGCATTACATTCTCTTTGTAGCTTGTGATGTGCTTTCATCAGGGGGCTGGTGGTTTTTGTTCTTTTTTTTTTTTTTCTGTTTGGGCCAATCTTAAAGAAGGGCACTTAAAGTGGTGTGGTAAAGGCCAAATATGTGTTTTAACTTCATCCACCTGGTCTAGTTGCAGTTGTTACAGCTGCCTTCCTTGCTTCACTGGAATGTTTAGGGGGTGGGGGTTGTTTGCATTTTGGGGTTTGGTTTTGTGTTGGTGTTTTTGGTTTTTTGTGGGGTTTTTGGTTTGGTGGTATTTTCCTCCACTTTTACTTCTGGAAGAGTTTATGAGATCTGCCTTCACCCTGTGGACTCGTGCTCCCAGGCAGCATGTGGACATTGTAGCTGGGTCCAGGGACCAGACACCCAGATGTTTTGCAGTTTTGAGATGCTTGTCTGATGGGAAGGAGTGAAAGCCATTCTCTGTTACCAGCCAGAACTCCTGGGAAGCAGAGATGCTCTGCTGCCTCCTGGCATTCTCAGACCTGGAACAGGGAAGCAGTTGGATACATTTGGTATGTGAGGACTTTTACAGTTACATTGCTTAATCTTCCTTTCCTCTTCCCGACATAACTGACCTTCACTCCCCTCTGCTGTGCTGTGTCCTGCTGACAGGCTCAGTGCCACTGCCCTCCTCCATTGTCCAGTGGTCACAGAATCATGAAGTTGGTTAGAGTTAGAAGATCACCTAGTTCCAAACCCCTGCCATGGGCAGGGACACCTCCCACTAGAGCAGATTGCTCTAAGCCCCATCCAGCCTGGCCTTGAACACTTCTAGGGATGAAGCAGCTGCAGCTTCTCTGGGCAACCTGTTCCAGTGTCTCACCACCCTCACTGTAAAGAATTCCTTCCTAATATCTAATCTAAATCTCCCCTCTTTCAGTTTAAAACCATTACCCCTCGTCCTATCACTACCCTCACTCATAAAGAGTCCCTCCCCCTCTCTCCTATAGGCACCCTTCAGGTAGGGGAAGGCCATCACAAGGTCTCCCCAGAACCTTCTCTTCTCCAGGCTGAACAACTCCTATCTTCATAGGAGAGCTGCTCCAGCCCTCTGACCATCTTTGTGGCCCTCCTCTAGAGCCATTCCTACAGGTCCATGTCCTTCCTGTGCTGAGGACTCTGGATCTGGATGCAGTACTCCAGGTGGGGTCTCTCCAGAGCGGAGTAGAGCGGCAGAATCATCTCCCTTGACCTGCTGGCCACGATTCTTTTGATGCAGCCCAGGATACTGTTGGCTTTCTGGGCTGTGAGCTCAGATTGCCATCTCCTGTTGAGCTTCTTGTCCACCAACACCCCCATGTCCTTCTCCTCAGGGCTGTATCCATTCTCCTCCCAACCTGTATTTGTGCCTGGGATTGCCATGAGCCAGGTGCAGGACCTTGCACTTGGCCTGGTTGAACTGCTTGAGGTTTGCATGGGCCCGCCTCTCAAGCCTGTCCAGGTCCCTCTGGATGGCATCCCTTCCCTCCAGTGTGTCGACAGCGCCACACAGCTTGGTGTCATTGGCAAACTTGCTGAGGGTGCACCCGATGCCACTGTCCATGTCTCTGACAGAGATGTTGAACAGTACTGGTCCCAGTACTGACCCCTGAGGAACACCACTCGTCACCATGTGGACATGGAGCTGTTGACTGCAACTCTCTGCATGTGACCATCCAGCCAGTTCCTGATCCAGTCAAATCCATGCCTTTCCAATTTAGAGACCACGATGTCATAGGACAGTGTAAAACACTTGGCATAAGTCCTGGTACTTGACATCTGTTGCTCTCCCCTTATCTACCAATGCTGTAGGACCACCATAGAAGGCCACCAAATTTGTCAGGCAGCATTTGCCCGTAGTGAAACCGTGTTGGCTGTCACCAATCACCTTATTTTCCATGTGCCTCAGTGGAGATTGCAGGAGGATCTGCCCCATGATCTGGCCCTCCAGTCAGTCCAGCGCAGCCTCCCTGCAACTGCTCTGCTGGCTCCTACCTGCAGAGCACAGTGGTGTCAAGCACGCTGGGCTCTGCTTTGTTGCACAAAGATTTATTTGCAGATATTTATGCAATATTTATAGTGTTCAAAATTATTTATGGGCAAAAGGAAAGGGAAAAGGGAAACTGTAAAGGGGAAGTGTGGAGCTTATGCATATCCTTTTTACACAGCAGTGGCTGTTTCTTCCTGGAAAGAACATCTAGTACAGCCCAAGAGCTTTACCCCTTAGGACACAGTGGTAAAAGCTGGGTCCCTGCAGTCCCCTGGGTACCAGCAGAAGACAACCGGCACTGCTGCAGCCTCCCTGCTGGGCCACCAGCTGTGGCGGGGCAGGGTGAGGGGCAGCAGGAAGGGGGGGTAAATGGTGCAGGGAGGTGACAGCGGCTGTGTGGGGAAGTCTGAGGGACAGGGGGGTCGGGAACAAGGGGCGCTGATGTGGGTTTCGGGGCAGTGGGTGGGGGGTGAGGAGGCTGGGAAGGACAAAAAGTGCAGCCAAAGGGCAGAGCGGGTGGCAGTGCAGGAAACAGCAGGACAGCAGAGGGGACGCTGGTCAGAGGCAGGAGGTGCTGGAGCAATGACCAAGGTGAAGGGGAGTGACTTGGTGGGGGGACAGAGGAGGGGATGGGACAGAAGACCAGAGTGAATCCCTGTCAGCTGGAGGTGAGGTCTGACAGCTCCCTGCCTCCACCTTACGCGGCCTGGTGGCTCTGGGGAGAGCTCTCCTGCCCGAAAGCCCCTCACCCCAGCAGCACTGCCGCAGCCACATCTGCCATCGCACCTCGGCCCTGTGAGAGACAAACCAGCTCGGGCGATGCCTGTTGGGACACGGCAGCACGATCAGATGCTCTCCAGCACAAGTCAGAAGCTGTTGGGCTTCTCCTGCTGCTGCCACCCCCTCCCTGCCATTCACCCTCCCCTGCGCAGCCCCAGGAAATGCGTTTCCAAGATGCCGCTTGTCCACGTAGAAGTCAGGCAGACGAGGTGGAGCTGTGCTTTGTGAAAAGTTCAGGTTTTTCTCCCTGGCTGTTCTCTAGTGACTGCTTCTAAGTGCATTTAAAGGCAAGGTTTGTATTACCCATATTATTCCCGCTTCACTAAGGTCCCTGTTAATGACCACCTGTCTGCAAAAGCCCCCACCAGCTACCATCACCTCATACAGCAGAACAGCATTCCAGGCTCAAGCCAGTAACTTCAACACAGACTGGGCATTGGCCTCAGTTTATAGCCAAGTAAAGGAAAAACAAGCATTTACATTTTATATAAGCGTTTATTTACAACTTGTTTAACAACTGTACACTCTTCTGTCACCTTGGAAGCATTAGTGTATTTGACTGGGAAAAAATATTAAACTTTTTGATTCCAATGATCATTACTGAGTATTTTTTTTTCTATATACAGATATGTATATTAATACTGCTACCATGACAATCTGGTAGTTACACAATTCATAGATGAACTGAAATGGGAACTTAATGTTTTGACACTCTAGGAATCCATTCTTTTACAGAAAATATATCACTGGCAACTTCACAAACAGTTACTTTGATAATTGGTCAACAATTCAGGACTGTCAAACAAGCTGATATTAAAAAGTAAAAGAGTATTCTATGCAGCACAAATGAAGTTAGTATTATCAGAGACATGCTGGAGATCACCTCTGAGTTGTGAGCTCGCAATCGCTTCATGACAGAGGTGCCAGGCTAATTAAAGCAGCCAGCTCACTCATGACTGGCTGCGCCTGACCTCTCCCTGTTGCATTAGTGAACTCAAGCAATTTTTGTCAAGCTAAACACACTTACATACAAACGTCTTCAGGCTCAAGAACAACAGATACCTACGTCTCTAATGCGCACAGACCACCGGGCAAAGGAGGCGCAGCTCTGCCTGCCCCGGGGACACTGGTGCGGGTGGGTGCACGAAGCAGCCATCCCCTCCCACCCTGCACCGAGGCCCCACGGCGGGCACCCCGCGCCCAGCTGGGGCAGGGCAGGGCCCAGACAGAGCCCGCTGGCCAACAAGAAACAAACCACACCTTTAAGACCCAACAAAAAAGAACTTTTTTTTTTTTCATTGCCCTTTTACACACAACAAGGGACCGATGGCTAAAACCTGGAAAGACAACAAATCCTTTAGATCTCTCCTGGACTCAGTCTGATGAAAGAGCTGCTGTGTAGGCTGCAGGAATACCTGACTTGTCACCAGCAAGCCCCAGGTCGTCCTGCCTGCAGGTCACATCAGACTTTGCTATCCCAGGTCCTGGTGGACCAGGAAAGACATATCCCCCTCCAGGAGTCTTTCCGGACTGCTGTCAGCCAGAGCACCTGGCAGCCATAGGCTCCCCCGTCTGCTATGGTATCCAGAAGGGAACACACCACACACTTCTCACCAGGACCTTCGTGCTTACCCTCCTCTCCCCTTCACAGTCAGCTGGGATCCCCTTCCTACCTGCCCTTCCCTTCCCCGGGTGGCACAGACCCCCCCATGGGTGGGACCACGTGGCCTGTCCTTTCTCCCAGCCATCCTGCACAAGGCTGCAGATGCAGTGGGCATCAGGAACCCATGGAGCAAGGGCTGAGGGAGGTGTCTCAGCGCCCGAGGTGCAGCTCTGCCCACAGCCCTGCCGGACGGGCCAGGGACAAGGCACGCACCACCTTCTGTGGCCAGAAGTGACTGCAGAGACTGGTGGGCACAACGCTTCTCCAGCACAGGGGAACAGAGGGCTGATGGTTATGCTGCTGCCTGAACAAGCAAAACCATCCTTGGAGTAAGCAGAGTACATGTGTGTTTATATTGCTGCATTTTTCATCACTTACTTTATGTTTTTAAGATCCTAGTGAGCAAGAATGGGGTTTCTCTACAACTGGACTTAAACCAAACTCATCATCATTCAGACTCTCTTCATATTTTCTGGAAAGTCCTATGGCTTAAAAGCCCCCCCCGTCCCCATTTGTTACACACTAACTCCTACACAATAAACCTCTTAACTTACAACACTACAGCACTCCCTCGTCTTCTGAATCTTGCCAGTACTGGATGTCCAATACAAAACAAAGATACAGTAGTACAAATGTGCAGACATTTAAGAATATTAAATAAGCAGCTTTTTAAATTAATATAGGCAGTACAAAGCATTTTGAGTTACACTGGCTACATATGGCAAATCTTATAGCTAAACCTCGTAATACAAAGAAACAGCCAAGCTAGTGCAATTGGAAATTAAATAGCTAAGACTGCGATAAGAAGAAAAAAAGAAAAAAAACAGTACAGGTGAAAGATAAATGACCCAAATTATAAACTGGCAAAGACAGGCTGCATAATACTGAAAGTGTAGACGGCTTTCATACTTTCCTCCATTCTCGTTCTTTCCTCAGATTGTTTTAACAATTGTACACAGATTGAAAAAAAGTTTCTGAAAGAAACCCACAACACAGCTAAAATGCAGAGAGAAAAATACAACCGCCACAAACTACTGTGTATATACATCGTAAGGAAGCAGGCAGTGTCTGTGAACGAATGCCGCCCGGTAGTTTGCCTGGCTCGGAGATTATCAGATGAACCTTGCCTGGTTTTCTAAGGAAGATGGGAAGGCCAAGCAGCAATTCGTTAGTCATTTCTCCTGGTAAAACACCTCCTTCGCTTTACTTTAATTATTTAAAGATTCAAAGTGGATCCTTTAAGGGTGCAGGTGCTTTTTAAATTTTAGCAGTAACCAAAAGGCATTTTTAGGAACCATTAAGACTAGATTTTTATAGTTCAGTATATGAAAATGTTGCAGAAAGTCTGTGTGTTAATACTGTTAAACAGAATTAAATAAAGTGAACAGGCAGAAGTAAAATGGAGAGCTGACAGTGCTCTGTCAGTTTGCAGAACGCCTCCTGTCGAGTTCTGAATACTGGATTTCCTCCCTTCTAGCCTCATAGGAGACTTTTTGTGAAGAGAAAGAGTAAATGGAAGCGGGAAATGGGAAAGCCACTCCCCAAGATGGTAAGCTTCTCTGCAAGTAGATCTCCCTTTGAAATCAGATGGCCATGAGTCTTAAGTGTAGAACTGGTTAAGTTTTGGTTATGCAGTCTGGACAGAAAAGCAAGTCATGCACTGAACAGTCCCTGTTATAATAATGCTGCAGGTCATGCAACCACATCACTGCAAATAAAAGAATAAAAAAGAAAGTTAAAAAGCAGATAACATATTTCCATTAAAAAACCAGAGAACAGAACAGGTATTTTTCAGAGCAGTTTAGTAAGGCCGTCTCTACTCAGAGTTGAGCAAATTCATGGGGAAAACATCTTTGCCAGAGCAACTCTTCAAATTAACAGGAAGGTCACACACCAGTAATTGGAAAAAGCAAAAAACAGCCTTGAACAGTATCCAAATTTAGACATAATTCAGACAAATTTAAACACTTCTGAGTGAAGTCCTTCAGGGCACCATTCTCAGCTAACACAGCTACGGAAACTAAGTTCACACAGTGACGAAGAAATTTCAGGCATTCCTGCTGTCTGTGAGTACAACAGTTAAAAAAATAAAGCAATGTAAAGTGAAAGGTGCCTGTCCTGCATGTGGTTATGTACTAAAACACAATCAGGGTCATAATGACTGTGTCTGAGCCTTCGAGCTCTGAGCATCACTGAAGACTTTAAGCATTTACATTTCATCAAAGCTCATCCTATGCGTGAGGCCACAAGAACAGCATCACTGCCACACTACGCTGGCAAGTTCTATTGGTTGCATGCAAATACAGGTTTGAATCACAAGAAAATTATATGTATTCTTATTAAAATAAGCTGAGTAGGAGCCACTGAGCAGCCCAAATGGCACATCGCAACGCTGTGGAAATGAATCTAAATTTAGCAGAGAATTGGAGAGGTTGGCATATTTCTCCATCCTTGCTGGGGCACTCTCTTTCTTGGCTGCTGTACCTGGAGAGGTGGAACGCTTGACCAACACAGCTGTGGTGCTTTCAGCTTCCCCAGGTAACACAAACGTCCCCACACAGCCTGGCACAGCACTAACTGCTCCTTCTCATTTTCACATTGCACTCACTATGATGTTACAAAGAGCAAAACAGCTTCACCAGACTGAAATCAAAGCATGCAAACAGTTTCTCTCCCCGCTTTCTCCTCCCTAGTATTGCACTGGTCAAAAATGATTCTAAGAACAGTTCCTGTCACAGAAAAATCCAGGTTAGATAGATAAGGAAGAATATTTATAACTAAACTCAAGGACTTATTGCAACACTCTGTCTTTTTGCTACTAGTACTACAGCTTGCGCATCCCTCTTTTTTTCCCCTCTCATTCACCAACCCAGAATACTAATCATACTTGAAAAACAAATAGAAACATACAGACATAAGTCAAATAGGATAAACATTTTAAAAAATTAACACATTCAACACATTCAAAGCTGACCTCAAGAGTGTATTTTGAGTAATCACTGTCTGCTAAGCTTGCCTGGCAATGCTTGGGTGCATAAAGTTACAGAGTTCAGGATTAATAATATGAAGATTACTGTAGTTAGTCTATAGAAAACTAGAAGTTCAAGGTACATAAGCATGTATCTATTCTATTGTGCATAAATTAGCATAGTCTATCTATTCCTTTAATCTCATCTGCCTATTAGTTCAGATGACTTATTTAGTAGCACTTTAAGTGTCCTGTTGCACATAAACAGAAATGACGTTGTAGGATTCTCTGGGAGTAACTAGTACTTTTGAGAGGTCTTTTGAACTCAGGGCAGCATATTCTCTGTCGGTGATGTAAGAAGTTCATTTCACAGCGCCCTCTCCTGGCTAGAAATTCTAATCTGGTTCTAAAAAGAACTGCCAATCTAATCTTGTTCTAAAAAGAAATTATCTGCCAATTTCTTTCTCTCAGAGAACTCTTCAAAATTGATCAATACATTTTAAAGCTACCTGTTGAGGCAGCAACACTTCAGAAGACAAGAAATATGAGAGTAAATTCACTCAGCATCATGTGTCATTGCTTCTGCAGCACCTCCAGAAAGAGACAGCTTATGTAGCAGCTATTGTGTCTGCAGAGGGACAACTTTCTCTTACTTCCTTTCCTTGTCAGTCCAAAATAATCCGGGTATAAGTGCAGGGTTCATTGCCAGTCTGGGGGATTATTTCTTAGTAAGGCGTTTCCTTTCAACATTCAATGTCACATCTCATTAGCTTTACTTCATTAGAAGTAGTTTATCCATCCCTTAAAATCTTCCTTAACTTCTTGCTGTCCTCTTCTGCTTTTTCAGCACACAGAAGTGACTGGGACAACGCCAGCAAATCAAAGCCACAGAAAGGATGGCAGCCATTTTCACTAATACAGCCAGCTCTGGAGGTAACTACCAAGATGAAAACTTTTAATTCAGAGCACTGTATACACAAGTCAAATCTGATGAAAAAAACCCCAACTAATCCAGCCTCGTGTCCTCTCTCCACAACCACTTTTTTCCGTTCAGTCTATGTTTGGTCCTAGGATCGACCAGGCTTTCTCTAGCCAGCGACCTGCTGCCCACAAGCAGCACTAAGGCAATCACCAAAGCTATCAGAGCACTGCAGTCTACTCATTTTCAAGCCTAATACTAGACACTCTTCTCAAGTATTTCTGCCAAGCAATCCTCCGCTTTGAAGCAACTGCCTCCAGAATTCCCTTCCTGCAGATTTCGTAACTTCATAATTTACTGGTTTCTACTGCGGACATTTGTTTTTCTTTCTGCGTCTATTCTTTCTATTTCTTTCTCCACAGTATTTCCTTTAGATTTTTTAAAGGAGCCTTTCAACATAGCATCTTCCAGAGCTGTATTAACACCACTTTCCATTTTATAACTTATAAAGTTAAAATATTATAAGAATCGTGGCCTTACAATGCCATGCTTATAACTATTCTAAGATCTTACTGATACTGCTTAATAAAAGCTTCAAAATTTCTCTCAAAACCACCAATACCTCCAGGAAATGGGTTTACTCTCCTGCTTTGGTGACTGAGAACTATAATCTCTGCTTTTTGTAATTTTGTATTACATAATGAATGTTATACTCAAACCAAATCAAAAGTCTGATGGTCTCACTACAACTATTTTGTAACTCTGTAGCTATTACACCATTTGGGATTTTCTCTTAAAATTCTGCTCATTTTCACAATCCTGCTAACAACACGAGCATGCTAACTATTGGCCTTTATGTTGATTTTCTCTTCTCTTCTCTTAAAGTTAGGGATAATCATTAGGGATTCAAGTTCCATTTGCAGAATAAGCTATCCTATACCTCTGGAAATACTTGCTTTTGCAGTATTTAAGATTTGTGCCATGCTACATTAATTAACATGTCTTCAAAGTGCTGACAAATGGCCACTTTTGTAACAATTAAAATAACCACGTTGCTCTTTCTGAAATGTGATATTCTAACTTTATCCTATAGTAAAGGTCCTCTCTAATGTGAAGCATTGAATAAATTTACTACCAGACAGGAAAGGCTTTCCAACTATTTTTCCTTTACTAATATTGCTTTTCATATTGTATGGATCAATCTCTGCGATCCAAAGCAACGTCACAGCAGCAAGAAATTTTTATCTGACAAATGGAACATGCTTTCAGTCTGGAAACAACATGCAGTGCAAAGGAAACCGAAGAATACACAGTTTTCCAAATTACTTCATACACACAGCAAAGAACAGCAGAAGAAATTCCTGACTTGCCACCAGAGCCAACTAATGCAGAGATCTTCTTCTTCAGGAAAGCCCTCTATTACCATGGCAAGGCCTAAAAGGGAAGGTTAGAATCCGCGCCATAGTAAAGTTAACAGCAAGACCATCCCCTAGCAACTAATAGATGACTTCAATTACAGCAGTTATCATGAGCTCCTGCTGATGCTGACTACAATCTGACACCAGAACAATTTGTCTCAGAAGCTGTCTTGGCTATACTGTCAGGTCTTGCCTCAAGGTGATTTGCCAAGCTTTCTAGAGTTTCTCAATCCACTTTCATTCATTACCTAATTCAATGAGCTGATACATTTAAAAAATGAACTTTGTGTCCTAATATTTCAACAAATCCACAAAAGCAAAGTCAAAGAAAAACAGATGACAAAGCTAGGTAAGTCCTCAATATCTCCAAATGGCGCAATGAAGCTCACAGCAAAGTCAAAATCTCTGGGGGTTCACTGTACCAGATGTGAGAAGCCTGAGGTTGCTCAGACTGACAATGACAGCTTCTGGCTTATTATTCACATAGGTAAAGACTCTAACGCTTAATCAACTGCAATTACAAATGAATTAAAAAAACCCACCTAGCTCCAAAAGCTCAGGTTCTGTTAATTATTTTTTTTTAAATTAACATCAGAAAGGAAAATGGTAAGACACATACTGCTCTTCAGATTTTTGTTGCTTGTATCTGTCTCCTCCACCTTCAAACTGAAGAAAACACCCCTGATTTTTACTTATAGCACGCAGAGTCACTGACAAGCTTCTGCTTCTGCTCCTTCTCTGGACTTCCAAGAGGTAAAAAAGATCACAGGAGCCAGGCAATGCAATCGGTCATGTCAGGATATTTTCTTAATTCCTTGAAAGTGACAAACTGGAGGTATGGCTATAATCCCACATAGAATATGCCATCTGCCACCAGCCAGTGATATGATTTGGCTGTTCTGAGTGCAAGTGAGATTTGTTACTGGTCCCTACACCAACCTATGAGATAACACAAGACTTCAGTTCTTCTTCCCGACGCAAGGCACAGCGTTGAAGTGCAGTGCTCTTGCCCATACAGAAGGGAGCTGGACTGCGCGTGTTTGGGAGGGGACACATGTCTGGGTGTCTCTAAGGTTCAAAAATTCATCCACTGAATTTCTTGCTCAGCTGATCTTTACATTTAAAATGTTGTAACGATTCATCTCTTCATTTTAACAGAATGCTAAATATCATACTCCCAGCATCAGCTAATACAGCTGTTCTAAGGAAGAGTTTCTGAGAAGGATTCTTTTTAACTGCTTGATTTCCTGAGATCACATTTCAGCCATAATCCAACTATTGAACTACTCTGTATGAAATACCCCTGACGTGTGACTACTTGGCTTAGAGGAAAAAACACCATTTGAAAGTATTTTCTGACAGAGTAACCTCTTTTAGCTATTTATTTGCACAATATCAGTGAGGAAAATGCCTGCAAAATTTGCTAAACTTGGTTTGGAGATAATGAAATTTATCAACACAATATTACTGCCAAACACAGAGGTTCACATCCTACCTAATACACATGTGCAAAACCCCATAGAAGTCAGGATTGCATAGCTGACTTTGAGTGCAAAAATACCTCCCTCATGAATCCTTGCAACAAGTCAAAATGTTGGGCAAGAATAGAAATATCTAGTAAAACAAGTAAAATTCAGGTACTGTTTTGCTTTATAGGAAAAAAAAAAATTAGGCACATTCAGGACAGTCTTCCTTCAAATCACTCACTAGAAGAAAATCAAGTGGTGAAATGAAAATACTTTCCAATTAACAAATCTACAGAAAGTTTCACCACATCAAGACAATTAAAACCACTAAAAATTATCCAGGAAGCCACTAAGTGGATAGTCTCAGATACTACAGAACTGAGAAAAAGCAAAAGCTACTTCCAAATGTCAAAATATCAAGAACTTCAAAACTACCACATCCTCTTAAATTTTCTTGACAGCTTGCAGATATCACTTACTGTTTAAGATCATCATAAAGCCATAACAGGAATATTCACTGTTAATTCTTTCATACACAATGAATATAAAATTGCTGGTGCTCCTTACATGAATAGAAAGCCACAGAAAACTTGCAGAAGCATTTCTGCTATCTCAAGTGTCATCAGAACAGGACAAGATTATCATTTACGTATTTCCAAAGAGATAAATGAAGCCCTTATATATTTACTAGTCATTTGTTTTCCTTTGCCTTGTGGGTGGAGCACACAACCTTTAAATTAGATTGTTTTGGTTTTCATAGCACATGGAAAATACATGTTATGATCCGAGTGGTTAAGTGTTGCTATCAGAAAATGCGGAACTTGAATTTTCTGTAGTGTCTGATCAGATATGCTAACAACTTAACTCTCCACGGAAGTATACAAACTGGACTGCACACACATCCTTTAAAACCATGAACAAAGCTTCAGCTCTGAACAATGAAAATATTCATCCATTTAACTGTTATCTTTTATTGGCATTAATTAGAATCTCTCAGAAATATTATTCTGAGCAGATCCTCAGCACAGCGTTCAAGAATGTGCTCTCATGAACTCTTCAGCTATTTTATCACTGACCTGGAGAACATCTTCTCTATAACCTCAATCGGTAGGGTTTATCTTTTTTATAACATATAAGGACAGGATATAGCATTAGTTTAGTAATTATCACTCCATTTTTGATAAAAATATTCTTTTTTCCTCAGAAAAAATGTTCCTAAAAGCTTCTTAGAAGTATCCAATATACTGAGAGAATTCTGATTTACAGTGGTTTTTTGCTTATATTTTTTTTACTGTAGATATGTTTTATATACTGTAGATATGACATATAGACAGCATTCATTGGTAGCTCATCTATACACGTGTTTATCCCCCAAAGTCACACTCTAAGCCTCTTCTTTTTCTTAGTAACACATTACTTCCAAAGCCATGTAACAAGCAAGGAAAATGATGAAGCTGAACCCTTTCAATAAAGAAGCTGTTCTTGCAAGAGAGAAGGTTTAATGATTTGCGTTCATCCACACCCAAAGATTAAGTATTGATGTATGAAGCAAACATTAGAAGTAAAACACTGAAAAACAGGAATTAAATTCCTGATGATTGCCATTAGAAGACAGAACAAATGACTTACTGGAATTGGACAGCAGCAGAGTAAATCTCTGCAAGACTGCGGTATATTCAATATATAAAAATATATTTTTCTATTCAACACAAATTCTAGGAAATACCAGAATTGCTACAAGTTTGAGAATTCTCAAAAGGCAAGATACTTGCTCAGTCTTGCCTAACAATTACTATGAGCAACAGTAAAGGACAGATTCAATATTAGTCTTGTTTTGCTCTTTGATGGTATATATACTTTAACTACAGAAAAGACTTCAGTGTCTTATCTTAAGCAACAAGGAAAAACCGACCAGAACCACAAAGCAGAAGATAAAACCAAACAACCACCAAGAAGTAAAAAAAGCTGCAAGAGACAGGAAAGTAAAAGCTAAAAATGAAGCTTATAATCAGCGTTTTTTCATCTCCTGACCACCAGGGGCATTTGCCTGTCATCAAAACTTGGGGGCAAAACCATAAAACAAATGTTAACATATTAAAAGCAAATAGTTTAATTCCAGTGCAGATTGTGCTCAAGTTATTATAGACCTTCACCTAATTAATATAAACAGGAAATCAAATTATTATACAAAATTAAGAGATAAAAGTTCCCACTAAGGTCCTGGTATTCCTTTGTTTCCAGAAATAGGTTTTGGCAGTTTGGCAACAGGCAGAGCCAGCCAGTTTAGAACAAAAATGGAGCTTTAGGTATTCTTAGGTTCTTTCTTGGAGTTATATAAAATGCTGTAATCACAAACAAAAACATCAAATTCCCTAAGAGAAATTACTCGCTCCTGTTCACACATGGCATGCTGTAAAGAGTTCTTCAGATGACTAGATTCCACAATAAGATCAGTAAAAGATGTCCCACACAAACTCTGGTCATCTTGCGAGATAACTCATATGACTTCTTGTCCCTTTAGTATTCTGTATCTCAGTAAGAGACAGCAAAACAAGTACCACCTCACTGTACTACAGAAATGGTCCTAAACTTCCTCTACATTGTAATCTTTCTGCACACAAGAAGATACTTCCACTGTCTTATCTAATCTTGACCAGACACATCAAATGTTGAATACATAAAGAGAATTCTTAGAAAAATCAGTTTTTTCCAAATGTGAGAAATAAAATACAAATCTATATGCACTTAACAGACTTCAGCATCCGTTTTCATATTACTGGTGAGGGTTAAGGGGGGAAACAGAACTGAATTTTTTTCAGGCACATATTGAATGCATTTCTTAGTCCAGATTAAAACAGATGATGTACTTGAGGATAAAACAGTACCTAAAACTGTCATTCACCTGTTCCTTACCCTTTAATCTAGGTGTGCTAGTTTTAACTATCTTTTGCTTATTCCAGCTATGAATTAACGTAGACCTTCAGATGATTAATAAATGCTAGTACGTCTTTTCTCTAAAGAGATTTATGAAAAAATATCTTCATTTGCGAAGGCATTAAATAAGGTAAAAGAATAACTTTATAAGCCAGACTGCATATGCATTAGGGAACAAACAATCTCTAAGTGAAAAATGTTTAAAACTGAAACACCCCAAAATGTATGCATATGAAACTTTCAACCAATACTCAGGTCCTCTGTGTCTGTCAATTCTTTGACAAAAATGGTAAGGAGAGCACGGCATTAGCACGGGGAAAAGCAGAACTTTGTAAGAATAGAATCTAAATTAATAGTAGGGGCTACCATCTGCCCCGTTGATCAACATGAAGGTGCTACGAGTGATGTACAATTAACCAGCTACACACTAAAAAGGCAGTACAACAAATCACAGACAGTTCCCAGCAAAGTCAGCAACAAACTCACCTGAAGGCACTGGTACCATTAGTAAGGCAACTGATACAATTATACCCTGAATTGACATATTAAAAGCAAGTCTTTTAGCAGGGGATGACAACTGGAATACATTAACATCAGTAATATTAATTGAGGCCTTGATCCATTATGTATTGTTCATCCATAATTATAAAATTTTAAAACAGATGTCCTTTTTAAGTGGATGATGCAGTAGCATATTAGAGCATTCTAAGTATTTCTCGGTATTTTTGTAATACATATAAAGCATAACTTGACAAAGAAGAGTGGAACAAACCATTTGAAAATATTCAATTCCGTCAGCAAAAGAGTAACACCAGTAGGTAAAGAAAAATCTGGAAAAAAGTTATCTTTCTTCGTTGTTAAATGCCAAGAGCAAAGCTTGCATGTAGGAGATTAAAAAAAAAATCTTTTTGTCATTGCTAAGTATTTTAGTAGCAAATAGATTTCACAAGAATATTATATACTAATTTTGCATTTCTGTAATGTGTTTTCAGCATTTTTGTGAAGTAACAAGTTAGCAGATAGAAATAGAAAGCTTAATCCCCTTTGAGCAAAGACAGTCATAAAGCGTAATAACCCTTATAGGCACAAATGCATCAACTGTGACAGGAAATTTACATTGTTACACAGCCAATATGAGGCTTTTTATGAAAGACCAGGCTTCATACAAGTAAGATTCTGTTATTATACAGCACTCCTCTAGATGTTTTCAAAACTTTGGCACATTCAAAAAATGCAGAGAGAGAGAGAGGAAGAGAGATGGACTCCAAAAAGTATAAGCAAAGGGCATTGCAGAACAATGAGAAATCATAAAACCCTTTCCTGAACTGTAAAATAATAGCAGTAGCAAGGGAGAAAGACAAAGGATGCTGGTTGATTTTCCTTGAATGTTGTCACTTGAAACAGAAGTGGCCTCGATCACAGGGCAGTTTCCTTTCTAAGGGCAAGGCATCTCTACCTTGCTGTTGCTGGCTGGACGTGACCAGGGTAAGATCTCCGTGTGCTCGTGGCTTGCCTTTGTCTAGCCAGGAAGGACTGTCCTGAGCCTGTACTGGCCAGTCTGTCTTCTGCTGCTTTTTTATGCAGAGTCATTCCCTATGGACAAAGAGAAACTTCTCAGTGAATACCAACACAAAACACAGAAAAATTTTACTTTTGCTTGTTATCTCCTCTTCACCAACACTGACTGAGCTATTTTGAATTTCAGACATGAAGCACCACATTTTCAAGGATAAAGTTATTTCCCTAATTCTTTGTGTGTTCTTCTCCCACACCCTCTCCCCCCTCCTCCCCCAGTCATTGTCCAGATTTGAAGTAACTGTTGAGAAGTAGGTGCCCCCATGTCCCAGATCTGAACATGTGCTTCTCCATATAAACACATGGTAACTAGATGATTCTTTTCAAAACTGCTTCCCCTCCCCAGCCCCCTTCAGCCTGTTGAGCTACAAGATTACTTTTCTTCTGAAAATAATTCAAGTGTTGTCATCTCTGAAGATACCAGCTCATATGGCAGGAGAACGTATTGAGAGAAAGTATGTTTTCAGCAGGAGGAAATGCAAGGAGGAAACAAGGGAAGCTCTAATGTTGTGTATAAAAGCAGAGGTTCATTAGAGAACAAGACAAAGCTACCAACACTCATCTTGGTGTTCGTCACAGGCTACTGATCCACAGCTCTTAGCTCAGGCTCATCTTCTGCTTGTCAGTGGGACTATGTTACAAAATTGGTCAGGACCAATGCCTTTGAAAATGCTTTCAATATTTAAAGGATTCAAACACTCTGTTAAAGTACCATTTTTGGCTTACTATTCATGGACATAACAAGAATGTAGAAAAGCTAGAGGGAAATTCTTTCAAGGGAAGACCAAGAGGAGAAATCCTTCTCTCTAGAAAGTGATATTTCTGTTTCTAAAACTTGAAAATAACAAACTTCCTTTTTCCTTTACCCCAAGGTTATCACAGGAACATACTCTTAAATAGTGATAACTTAAAGCTATTAAAAAGCATTTATTTCTGTGTCTCTGTGTTGGAAAATGCTTTTCAAGCAAAAAAACCACCAACCTGTAAATGAATGAATACTGACATAAACAACCAAGAAAAAAACTAGTATTAATATTTTCTTTCCTTTTTAAAAATAAAAATAAAAAGTGTGGGAGATTCTTACCATATTGTACCAGGCACTAACAATAAATTTTTCCTCCATTTCTCTTTGACTTTTTGTTTTCTCATATTCTTTCTATAAAACAAACATTAAAAATCATACATTTAAAACAAAAGCATAATAAAAGTATTAGTCTACACCTAAAAACCAATGAGGAAGCATGCATCTACCACGAAACAACGATTACTACCTCCAGTGAATGAAACATTCTATCCCGCTCCTGCAACTGATTTTTCAGAGCCTGAATCTCAGGAGCTGCACCCTGGTTCTGCTTAGGATCTAAGGTGCGGATGACCTGTAAGAGAAAAGCAGTTTGTTTTTATTTAAATCCTGCAAAAAATATCTAATTGAGGGGAAAGACATCACGGAATTACAACCCTTTAAATCAGGTTAAGGAATAAAAAAGTGACTAAAAACATGTCAATGGTAACAAATGACCCTCCAAAATGTGAAACAGAGGGATGTGCAGTTTTAAGAGGCTGACTCTGTAAAATAATCTTGACAGCCAGTATGACAGACGCTCTGCCTCTGAACATCAGCCATGATGTGTTAGAGCATCTGAACTGGGCTCTCTTTTACAGACTTTGAAACAAAACTACTGATAGGAAAAAGTGACACTGAAGAGGTTCAGTATGCCTGACTCACATATTTAGTTCCTACCCATAGCTGCACTCCCCTGGGTCTTTCTGCCCATTTCAGAATCCTGTCCAGACGCTGAAATAAAACAGGTGCTTTAAATTTTAGTAAGTAATTTTTACTGAATGGTACTAATGAAGGAAATTCATAGAAGTGTTTATGTTAAAATACATGTTAGACCTGGATACAGTTTCTACAGAGAAGGCAATAATGATTGCACTTGTCTTCACAAAAGAAACAAACAAACAAAAAACCTCTGAAAGGTGACAAAAGATCACAGAAAGCTATCCTACCTAAATAATTAATACTACTGTTGTATAAAACACCCTATGGTAACACTGTACATGCAAATAAACAAATCTTATTGAAAAGGGAAGTTGTGGCTCTGTCTTTCACTGGAATACTCTGACACCCAGTCAGCAACACAAGATGTAAAAATAAATAATAAAAAAATTATTTGTTTAGATTTCCTGAAGACTTTTGAAGCATCTCACAAGAAGTGATTGAAGAAACTACAAAGAAGTAAAGGAAGGATGCACAAAGTTTTCTCAAATTATGAGCATACTTACAGATTCTAATTTAATGATACACAGCCATAGCAAAGATCTTGATACTACCACAATCAGATAAACAAAGACACTGATATGCTTTTAAGAAACTCAAACAAAATACCAAGGTAAAGTAAAAGAAGAAATGGGACTATGACTAAGACCACAATGTTGCCGTTTCAAAGCTGGTATTATGTCCACATGCCCAATACAATACTTAAATATTTGCCATCTTCTCAACAGAAGCATTTATTAAACAGTAAAGGCAAAGAGAATGCTGAACATCAGAGAAATGTAACAGCTCTCAAAGGTGGTTCAGTTAAAAAGATCACTTTATTTGGAAAAAGCATAAATGAAGGAGTCCATATTAAAATAGTTTCTGTATCAGTTAGCTAAACCACAACATGAATAGAAATCAGGGGCAAAAGATGGACGAAGGAAGAAAAATCAAATTTAAATTGTTAAAGATGGCCATGGCACATGTGTACCTCTCCTTGTAAATTATGAGCCCCTCGAAACAAATAAGCAATTTATGTGAGCAATTATGATCTGATGAAATCTGAAGCAGCTAAAAGCTGTATCTATAAAAAAAGTGTATCAAAACATCTGCTCCAGGTAAGACATAGATTACTGACTGAGCACCACAAGAAGCCTACACCATCCAGAAACACACATAAACTGATCCAGCCACCTACAAAGAACCCCAAACATCCTTTAACCTCTCTGCCAAAATGATAAAACCAGAGTTTGTTAGTCCCACCATGCCTGTACTTGGTGTTCCTAAGCTATATTTGTGTGTACAAAGAGGTAGAACTCTTCATGACAACTGTCCCAGAAGTCCCAGCACAAATTCCAGTTAAAAAGTACTTCTGCTCACAGAGCTTCCTTCTATTGAGTTGGTTTAAATGGGTGGTTCTCCAGTTCTAAAATGAAGCACAGCGATTTCAGTTATTTCTATACCACAAGTCCTAGTACCACTTTATTTGTCACTCAGAGACAGAAGTCTGGAAGAATTTACACAAAGAAAGAGGTTATCACAGCATTAGAAAGGGTTTAACACCCTCCCTTTGCCATCAGCCGACATGAATGCCTGCTTAACAAGGTTTGTCTGAGTGACTTTCAAAATCTGGGGCAGTGGGTATATATTTGTGTAGAGGCATCAGTCAGAAGGGTAGCAAAAGGGGAGAGTCATGAACACCAAAACAGGGTAAAATTGTTTTGCATAATTAATCAGTATTAGGTGCTGTTATGGTTAGAAGATAAAAGAACTTGCTGGGTCTTCCTTCTCTTTTCCTCGCTAGTGTTTATACATTTACCTCCTTAATTTTTATTCCTGCAGAGCTGACATGCAGTGCACTCTGCAGTGCAGAGAGGGATCATTAACATGGAGCATGTATACTTACACTTTTGGCCTTTTCCAAATACTTTTTATATCGCTCTTCCATTTGTTTCATTTCCTCCTCCTTTTTCCGTAAAGCTTCTTGTAATTCTTCAATTTTGAGTGCTTTATGTCAGGAGATGCACACATTGGAAAATAACATAATTGTATTAAGTTTATGCTCATGTTTTTCAACAGACATTTAAGACACAGACGAATTTATTTCAGTTAAGAAAAGCCAACATAAGGAACCTGATTTAGCAGATAAATTGTACTCAGAAACACATTAAAATTGTGCTCTTATATATTTCTGTGTACTCCTACATAATCTCATGAGATGGCTGTTTGGTACACAAATTTTGCTTTTTTAGAAACTATGAATAAATAAAGAGAAATGGAATAATAAATCAATCCCATTACTGAACAAACTTAGAAAATGAGTTTACTATTGACTTACAAGTTCCATATGATCTTGGTATTGTAACTCAGATAAATATGAGTTTTCCAGTTTTATGTAAGAGGAATAATTCTTAGCAGGCACATTTCTTGCTTAAATCAACTAAACTGTAACACTGGATACAATCTATTGGACTTGTGACATGAATATACTCAATTTCATTTCTCTCCTGCATTTTCTTAAACAGCAATGCACACCAGTAGGACAATTTCATTGCATAGCCTTTTCCTGTGTTGATATAAGAATATGTCAGGACACTATTGCTTATATATTTTCTATACAACTTCCCAGATCTCAGGAAAAAAAACCACCCAAAACCCAATTGCATATTTCCAGATCAAATAGTACATAATATTGACATTTGTTTCTCAGATGTTAGATAATTATCCATCTGTTTTGCAGCCTTGTTTTGAAATGTTCTTTCATGTTTTTCCTACAGTTCCCAAGTGCTCAGAAAACACTAAACTGTTAACAGGACAAAGCAAGATTTTCAGCGATGAGTAAGAGAACCAATAGTTAACGGTCTCCAAGGTTGCAAGAATCTGCTTTTCAAAACATGCCATGATTCTTGTACAATGCCCAAGTATTTTGGCCATATCCAGGATAGTTAAAAGAATCTGAAAAAATAATTCACACATATTTCTTGAGCGTGGAAAGAAAGGAAGAAAGTACAACTTTTTTCATTTTACCAAGACGAAAGTTAGAACTATACTTTTAAAAAGCAAGTTGTAATTTCAGTAAACTAACTACAGAAGCCTCAGTATGCCCTAATGTTTAAAAGCTATTAGACTTGTGCTGAGGCTTATCAGGTATGACAGGGTTATGTTTTCATTAGCTACTCATGAAGTTCCTGGACCTCATTTCCAAGTGTTCTAACATTTCTCAAGACATGGAATTTGTAACATATTCTGCAGTTTTAGCTCAACACAAATTAAAATTGTTTTTTAGATACAGATGTATGTAATGAATACTGAACTGAAATTTCTATCTTCCTCAATCTCCTTATGAATAAAATCACTTTGGCACAAATCGGAAAAGTGGCCACTGGTTGCAGTCTTTTGCCTTGTTCTATAAGTAGGTTTGGAAAAAAACCAACCTACTTCCTTCAATACTTCTCAGGAAAAAAGCAGCATTAACATGCTATAAACAACTGCATGCTGGGTTCTGGATACCATGTGAGCAATATGACATATATCCTACATTCTCTTTGACCAGTGTCCAAAAATTTTCTCAAATTACAGTTTTGAAAACACACTGGGAATAAAAAGAACCTGGTGGTTGCAGAAAGGATCTCCTCAATTATGGTCTTTGGAGACGTGACAGTTCTGAAAAACTGAGGTTTAATGACAAGTATGACAGTCACTAGGTATTTCTACGGCTACTGTCATTTCGTACTATGTGGTGTCTAAAATGTGACCCCCTGCATTTCAGGTGTTAGAAGCATCTTTTCAGTCCCCACAGCTTCCAGAGAAATTAACACCATACGTATCACTGCCATTTAAAATGTATATTTTGTTCATCTTGCACTGCCCATCCACGTGAAATACTTTACAAAGAAATGGACTGCACAGGTAACTCACAACTGTTATTGCATCTTGGTTCCAAATCCTCAATAATAGCTCGTTTCTTCTGTATCTCGTTGTTAGCCTCATGGAGCTTCTCACTGTTACAAACCATAAAAGCACATATTGTTTTCCCAGGATTATGACTGTCCTTAAGTGAACATTAAGAGATACAAAAAATCCTCATATTTCTGAGAGCATGATTGTTTTTTGCTGTGGGGCATGAGGCAAATAACAATCCCACTGTGGAAATATTTGTTAAATAAGGTGAAAAACATTACAGTGTATGGAAAACTGTAACGACAAGCAGCTTCATTCTCAGTAATTATAAACTTAATTTAGAACTTACAGTTAATTGTACAATGCATGCCTAAGATGAATATTTGCAATTGAGATTACATTGAGAAAGAATGGCTAAACCCAAAGACAACAGAAACAAAAAGCAAACAGCTCTATGCGTTTTAGGGAAGAGGTGCACAAATAGCAGAACAAAATAACATGTCCTAAAATGTTACCTTTTATGCCATAATGTATACTAAAAAGTAAACAAATTAATTTTGTTTGCATTAACATGCTTTCCTCAGACCAAAATTACTTACTCCTCTTGAGTGAAAATTAACACAGTGTTAAGGAAATTTTTCTATCACTACAGAATGAGGGTTCCCTCATCAGTCTGACTGCTTTCACAGAGGTTTTCTATGAGATGAAAACAGTCTCTGAACAGCAGATTCCCAAACATTCCTGGGTTATCTAATTTCTCTTAGTTGTATATTTTCCAGATGCATGATTAATGACTGTATGTCTTCCTTGCTATATGGAAAACACGTAATTTGAAATGTCAAACAAAATAGGCAAAAAAAAAAATAAATACTTACAGATGTTCTTCAAGTTTCTTTTTCAGAAGAATTGACTAAAATAGAAAGTTAAACGTTTTATTTTAATATATTGCAAAACTTTGACATAATTTCAAAATTATTTAAAAACATATAATTTTGGCATTCTAACCAAAATCCAACTTATTACTTCACTCAGTTTTAGATCACAACTGTAAAGCCATCCTCTGTGGTACCAATCCTTCTCTCCACAGCTGTGAGACTTTCCTGAAATTAGAGTGCTTTATAACTTTAAAAATATTTTCCCAGGAATTAGATCAATAAAAGCAAGATCCATAAGCAACAAAATTATATTGCAGTTGTTTTAATTTCTTCAGTAGTTTTGTAATTAGACTAAATAAATTAACCTGGAATGAAAAAAGCAGCAAAATTTACTAGAAGATCTGTCCTACCAATATCACAATGCAATTTGCATGAAGACATATGGCAAATTAGATAGAACTAAATTCCTGTCCCCATAGAAACTAGAGGGAGTACAGTGTTTCTGACTAGAGTATAGCAGCAATTTTATCCTTTTCTTTTCCTTATCTTTATTTGTTACAGACATAAAAATTATCATACAACTTACAGTGTTCCACTTTCTGTTTAAATCACATTTAAATAAGCTCTTTGAATAAAAGCTTCAAATAAAATTTTATTTTAATTTTAAAATCACTTCATATACAGTGAGTATCTTTCAAAAAAACCAAACCCAATAAAGTCTATAAACTGAAAGTAGCGTTAAGTAAATAGAAAGCCATACTCACAATAGCCTTGAGCAGAAGCCCATGCCAAGAAACAGAGATGACATTAGTATAAAGCAAAACAGCAGCCAACAGAAGAAACTATTTAGAAAGTCATGAACAGAAAAAGTTAAAGCTATGCATTTTTTCACACATGCACATTTTTCTCCTTTGTTCTCATCAGCAGTTTCATCCTGTAACATTTTCTAAAACATATCACTAAAACAAAAATATAAAAATAGTGAGGAAGCTCATTTGTAAAGCATTGTGTATAAACCAGAATTTCAAAGGAGAGCACCTGCTATTTGGGAAAGTAATTTTAAAACAAAAATAATACAAGTAAAAAAACTAGGAGAAAATATACAGTCTATTGGGCTATAAACAAAATTAAGAGATGCATTGGTTTTTGTGGAGTGATTCTGAAATGTGTTATTGCTACATTGACTGAACACAAGACAAATGTAGACTATTTAAATCAGAAACTGCCTTTTTAGTTTGTATTTGTCTAGTTCCAATTTCACTGGAAGTCTAGCATATGACTGATGGTCCAGAATGCCATCAGAATATAAGATAAAATCATCAACAAAATTCATTGCTTTTTCTCCAATGGTCTTTCAATAAAGGTTTAGATACCTGGCAGACAGAGTCAATTACCATGTGCACCCAAAAAGTTTTTAGCTTTGTTATAGTGTAAATACTTTAAAATATTTACTTTGATGACATTCCTGAGTCATGCTTTTTCATTATTTTGAAGTTGGATTTCTTATCGCACTATAAGAAGGGGGTAGGGGGGAGAATATAAAAACAAGTCAGCATGACTCTATTGACTTCAGAGTCAGAAATTTGTAGCAGCTAAGGATCTGCAGGTTTTGACCATTTGGCGTTTTTCTTTTCCAGTGCTCTGAACAACTGCAGCAACACCATAATTTCTGTAACAGTAAGTGTTTGTACACATCTTTGTTGGTCACAAAGTGTTTGAACAGGCACCATCGCTTACGTCTCATCACATAAGAGACTATTTGTTGGTTTGGACAAGAAAGGGAAAAGCTGCAAACAGTTCCCATTTTCCTAAGGCAAGAAAATAAAAATTGAACTCAGCTTTTCTTTTGCAACCCTTATATTGCACTTCGGTTTAGCTTGGAACAGACATCACTACTTGTCAACACTGATTCCACTGGTATATTTTGATATATTTATTTGCATAGTACCAGCATTGTTGTGGGAGTAACACATCTCTCATCTAGACAGATCGTATGTTCTCAGAAGCAAGAAACTAACAATTATAAGCAGTACAAACAATTAAAAGAAGCAGGACTGAGTTTACCCAGAGTAATTTACCCAAGACATCAGAATAGGAAAAAGAATAAATGTAAAATGTGCAATTTTAGCCACCCAAAGATCCTGTATATACATGCAGTAAGGCAGATAAATTCAAATAAATTACTCTAAAAATGGGCAACCTTTTTTTTTTTTCTTATCTCAGTCAGCTTCAAAGCCAGGTATCCAAACCCACTGCTTCTAATATGTAACAACTATAATAATCACTCTCCCAGAGGAAGACCAAAAAAGTTACCTACTTTAGAGCTAGTTTACATTTAACTTCATTCAAATGTTTTATCTGTTCATAATAGAAAAACATTGCTATAACAAAACTGTAAAAATTAGCAAATGCATACTCGCATTTTGCTTTTTCCTCCCACTGCTAACAAGTTCCACTTACAAAACACCAGAAAAAAATACTTAATATGGTGTGGTTTCAGAAAATAGGTATCCTCCCCACTATTTGTTATCTTTCTTTTACATCAAAAAACCTATAGAAATAAAGTCATCTTTATGCTGGAGATTTCTTTCATGCTTAAGTAAGCCAAAGGAGCAGGTCTGCCCCCTTCTTGAGAACAAAGGTTGGTTTTGTTCTGCATGTTAAGGCCACAGGCAGATGGCTAGGCTCTGGCTTGAGGTTAAGCTAGCTTAGCAGGGTCAGGTAAACTGGCATGTGACTTCAGAAAACTGCTTGATGATACTGGTAATGCTGTGAGAAGACAACAGAAGTTACAAACAGCACCATGAGGGATGGCCAGATTTCACAGACGCCAAGAGTAATCATAAATAGTTTGGGTTGGAAGGGAGCTTCAAAGGTCATCTAGTCTAAGCCCCCTGCAATGAGCAGGAGGATCTTCAGTAGATCAGGTTGCTCAGTCCAACCTGACTTTGAATATTTCCAGCTCTCTGGGCAACCTGTGACAGTGTTCACCAAGCGAGCAGAGTGGCTGAACTTCACAGGTAACTGAACAGGCCATAGAGTTTTGGGGACCTTTGAGGGAGGTACCAATTCAGGAGTACTTAGTAATGGTACCAGTAACAGCATATAAGGCAAAGACTGCATAATTAACAGTATGAGAAACACCAGATGTGGTATGGATTTAGCAAGACTAGGTCTGAGCGTGTAGAAGTAACTAAAGGCAGGTTGCTTATACACAAAGGAATGATGGCAGAGAAAACGGGAACAGGGAGTGACAAAAGACAGTGATAACAGGGCATGCAAATGATGTAGTCGAAGCTGTTTGGTGTACCTGTTGAGCAGCCCTACATGACCATTGCATTCTGGAGGACAATAAATCAAACCTGCCAGTCTGACCACACCAGGCATGTCTGAATTGATTCAATAGTCTGGAAAACCGGGGCAATGAGGCCTTGCTCTGGCCAGCAAGTCAACAGCCAGGATGGACTAATCATGCATCCCAACAGGATGCATCAGCACCCATTACAGGCCTAACAGCACTGATATTTTCCTATCGTCTGCCTTCCACTGCACTGCAATACAAAACCAAAACGGCTTCCCCATGTGGACCTCAGCAAGCAGCATGTATCATTGCAATGATACTTGCTTGTGTTAGGATAGCGCTTTACAACTTTTGTGGCAAGCCTAAAAACTACTTCAACTTTGAAAACAAACAGAACTAAAAAAAAACCAAACCACCCCAAGCCCTCATCATAGACTTCTGGACTGAATTCAGACTTGATCTTCGGTTTTCTGGGTTGAGCGTATTTACAGTATAAGTATACAAAATTTTGTATTTCAGTGCATTGCTGCAGAAAAGTAGTGAAAAACAGAGGAAACATGCTGTAAATGATGCATCAATGAAGCGTATGCCATGTCTCTCCTTATCCTTTTTCAAATGCTTTTTGAAATGATATCTTAAGGATAATTCTTGTGATCCCAGCACAACTTCCATCTACTTGAGCAGCTGGGTTTAACTTTGAGGTTTTCTCTGCTTTATGTGGGAGATTGGGTGAGATGTCCCCACCTGCAGAGGTTCTTGCAGCCTCAATACTTTTCTGAGTTTTACACTCTCTCTTTCATTTCTTTAAGAGTAAATGAAATCCTACACACTGAACTCAGCAAAACAGGTCATGGGATTAGTGCCTATAAATCACCACGGGGATGGTCAGACCTCCACAGAAGCTAGGAAGCAGCAACTGCTTCATGAACTTGCCAACTCTGATTTGACAAGGGCTGCCTGGTACACTCAGCAGGCTCTACTGTGGTGTTGCAATGGTGGTGTTTTGCTGTTAACAGAATCATCTCAGATGATGCCTACACAGGCTGAAACCAGTCCTGTAAGTGAGCTGCAGACACATCCTAAGCTACTGTCCAAGCCAGAGCCTCAAAAAGGGACACAATTAAAGTTGCAGTAAATAAAGATGAACTCAGTAAGACAGAGATCATTTACAGTACTCAGTATCTGAGAGTAATTTTTTCATATTCTTGTTCACCCAGAAAAATCTGATTTTGGCCAATAAACAAGACAACACATAATATCTCAGAATCACATAATAGTACGGACCTATTTTAAAATGCATTCTAAGTTACTTAGGAAAATAATCTAATTTGAATTTGACTAAGTATTTTACATTCATATTCTGAAAATTAACAGGATAAGATAAATTAAACATAGTCTTAAATTAAATTAGGCAGCTCGTAAAACCTTTTACTGTTTTATATAAATTAGTTAACACCACAAAAATAGAAAGCAACACAACTTTTTGCCAATTAGCAACACAATACACTGAGACTGTGAGCATACACTGCATGTACAGTCCAGTAAATCACTGTTTTCAAGGAAGTTGTAGAGCTTCTTCTCTCAAATACCATTTTTGAGTGGAAGACTGAAAGTTGTTTTCCACACTAACTCTGCCACAATTTGTACTCTTACATTAAAAATAAAGTTAACTACATATACATAAAATGTTGCATTATGTTGAGGACCTGATTATTTGCCTTTCTTTTGTTTTGGCCTGCCTGACTTCTTGCATTATGAAATACATTTACATCCACAATTACAGAACTTACACTGGCAGGAGATGCCTTAACTTTCATTACAAAAACTAAATCAGAAAAAACTTCAGAAACTTTATTATTAAGATATGGAAAATTAACATTTCCTTAATTCCCTGCAAAATTCTCTATTCTAATTAAATAATTTCAACATTAAGTTTACTATCAGAACAGACACAATTAATTTATTAATTAATATTTGAGACCTTCTCTACATAGGATGGTTTTCCTTTCTAGACAAAATGTCTTACTATGTCTTGCATGCTATCTAGAGAAGCACAATTTAGAGATAAGACCATATGAGCAAATATAGAAAATTATCAGAAATATCCATTTGCATATTTCTTCTATAGATTTTTTTTACAAAAAGGAAAAAGTTTCAAGAATGGTAACTACTTGAATGTAAGTTTGATGTACATTTCTACTTACATCTTCAGCTTTTGAACCTTGATCCTGCAAAGATTTTTGAAGTTCTTCAACCTGGCACTGCACTTCTAGAAGTCTCTGATTTACCAATCTAGGAAAGATACAGTATTTTGTTTTTCAGAAAAAAACTAAACAACTGCAAGAGGAATCAGTTAGAGATTTTTAGTGTCCAGTGTTTTTAGGTCATCTCCACAAGACATGCAATACTGATTTCATTCACAGAAAATTTACAACAGTAGCTAGAGCTTACAGCAGAGATTCCAGAGATTATAGTCTGCAGTCATCCAGAACATTCTGATACTCTTCTGAGACAACACAAATGCATGTATTGATAAATCATTTCTATATACATGAAACAAGAGTTTCTAACAGTCAGTTTTACTGTGTGAGAGCTGCTAGCTTACTGCTTTTACACAGCCACAGAATCCTATAAACCTGTAGGTTGGAAGGGATCTCCAAGGGTTGTCTAAATCCAACCTCATACTTAAAGCAGGTGCACTTCCAGCACATTCCTGGGAACCACATCCAGTCCAGCTTTGGACACCTTTAAGGATGGAGATCTGACAACCTCTTTGGGCCTCTCTTCTAGAGCCATACTTCATATTGTGTCTGCTGCCTCTTTTCCTTCCACTGTCAATCACTGAGAAGAGTCCACCCTGTCTTCTTGACATCTTCCATCAGGTAGATGTAGATCACAGTATTACCTTTCCTCTGGCCTCTGAACAAACCCAGTTCTCAGTCTTATCCCACATATCACATGCTCTAACATACCTCACCTTAGCAGTATTCTGCTGCACTCCTGTACATACATGTCTTTGTTGTACTGATAAGGATCATTTTCCCAGATTGTCTGCTTGCACCCTGCTGAGGATAGCCCAGGTCACAGTCAGCAAGGTCCTCAGCTGACACATCCTCCTTTGATGTCCACTGGAACCCTAGGGCTTCTGCAGCAGAGCTGCTCCCCAGTACAGTGGTCCCAGCCAGCATTGCCAAGCTTCTCCCAGCCAGGGACAGGGCTCCCATTAGCTCATTTCTCTGAGCTCCTCTGTATAACAGCTCTCCATTTCAGCATATCAATCACTCCTTCCAATATGGTACCAACCTCAGACTTGCTGAGAGTACAGTTCCTCCCATCAGTCAAGTTGTTAATAAAGGTGATGCACAGCATCAGTCCTGGTATTGATGCCTGAGGAACTGTTACCAATTGGATTTTGTAGCACTGATGATAACACAAGGCCCAGCTACCCAGCCAATTTTCCACTTACCTTACTCTACACTTACTGAGTCTATATCTAACAATTCTGAACATAAAGATACCATGGGAGACTGTGCCAAAGGCTCTCCTAAAGGTAAGTACTGTCCACTGTTTCACCCTTTTTTACATAGGCAGTCATCTCATTGTCAAGACAATTAGATTGATTAAGTATGATTTGCCCTAAATAGATCTATGTTGGCCTTTCCTGATAACTTTCTTGTCCCTCATGTGGCTGGAAACAGATTCCAAATGGATTTCCTTTTTGAAATTACTAGAAAATGAGCTGTGGCTAACCAGTCTCTGTTAGAGACTGTAGTTCTCTGGACTCTTTCTTGCCCTTCTTGAAGGAGAGTGCAGTATTTACCTTTTCCCAGCCTCAGAAACCTTCCCCAATCAAAGGGGAAGATTGGGGAAGATTAGATAGAAAGTGGATTCAAAGCTTAGATAGAGAGCAGCCTCATAACAATATCAGCCAGCCATTAGCATGCTCAGAATTATGCTGTCTGGTCCCATAGATGACTGTAAGCTGACTGGCTTAATCTAGCAGGTTGCCCAGGAACATGTCCTGATGGGTTTTAAATACCTTCAGTGACGGAGACAACCTCTCTGGGCAATGAATTCCAGTGTTCAACAACCCTCCCAGTGACAAAAAAAAAAGCATATTCTTATACTAGAAATTTAATGTGTTCTAATTTCTGCCCACTGCCTCTTGTCCTGTTACTGGGCACCACTGAGAAGAGTCTAGCTCCATCTCCTCTAGATCTTCCCATCAGATATTTATTAATACTGACATTGACAAGATCTGCCCTAAGCCTTCTCTTTTCCCTCTATCCCTCTATCCCTCAGACTCTGCTTATATGAAAGATGCTGCAGTCCTGTAATCACATCATTGTGGTGTTTCACTGAACTGACTCCAGTAAGTTCACGTTTTTCTTGTACTGGGGAGGCTAGTATTAGACACAGCACAGATAAAAGCATACAGCATTGTTAGAAAAGTCAGTTGAAACAGAGGACAAAACTTCTTACCTGTTTTCTGTCTCCAATTCATTCTTCCGTAAGTTTGCATCATCAAGAAGGCTCTGCAACAGGGCGATCTTTTCATTGTCAGATCCTTCTTGGTTCAACTTTAACATCTTGTTCTCATGCTGAAGGCGAATGAGTTTCTCTCTAAAAATATAAAATATAATTTCTTTTGAGTTCATCACCCGTCTAAATTTGATTTTGTGACAAATGGTGACAGATGATGACTCAGCACCTCCCTGAGAAGCCTGTTCCAGGCTCACCATTTTGGTGAAGAAATTTTTCCTAATATCCAATCTATCTCCCCCCTGGCACAACTTGAGGCCATTTCCTCTCGTCCTATTGCTTGCTGCTTGGGAGAAGAGACTGACCCCCACCTTGCTACAACCTCCTTTCAAGTAGTTGGAGAGAGCTATAAGGTCTCCCCTCAGCCTCCTTTTCTTTCAGGCTAAACAACTTCAGTTCCCTCAGCTGAGCTTATGCTCTAGACTCTTCAGCAGCTTTATTGGTTTTCTTTGGACACACTCCAGTACCTCAAGGTCTTTCTTGTAGTGAGGGACTCAAAACTGAACACAGTATTCGAGGTCAGCCTCACCAGTGCTGAGTACAGGGGAATGATCTTGTCCGTAGTCCTGCTGGACTCCAGGAGAATGCTATGGGAAACAGTGTCAAAGGCTTTACTAAAATCCAGGTAAACAACACCTACAGCCTTTCCCTAATTCACTAAGCAGGTCTTCTTGTCACAGAAGGCGATCAGGTTAGTCACGCAGGACCTGCCTTTCATAAACCTGGATAAGGAATTGGCTGGAAGGACACACTCAAAGGGTTGCAGTCAACGGCTCAACCTACAGCCTTTCCCTAATTCACTAAGCAGGTCTTCTTGTCACAGAAGGCGATCAGGTTAGTCACGCAGGACCTGCCTTTCATAAACCTGGATAAGGAATTGGCTGGAAGGACACACTCAAAGGGTTGCAGTCAACGGCTCAATGTCCAAGTGGAAGCCAGTGACAAGTGGTGTTCCTCAGGGGTCAGTACTGGGACCGCTGCTGTTAAACATCTTTGTCGGCAACAAGGACAGTGGGATTGAGTGCACCCACAGCAAGTTTGCTGATGACACCAAGCTGTGTGGCACGGTCAACATGCTGGAGGGAAGGGATGCCATCCAGAGGGACATGGATAGGCTTGAGGGATGGTCCCATGCAAAACTCATGAAGTTCAACCAGGCCAAATGCAATGTCCTACACCTGGGTCTCGGCAAACTCAAGCACAAATGCAGGCTGGGCGGAGAATGGATTGAGAACAGCCCTGCCAAGAAGGACTTAGGGACATCGGTGGATGAGAAGCTCAACATAAGCTGACAATGTGTGCTCACAGCCCAGAACACCACCAGCATCCTGGGCTGCATCAAACAAAGCATGGCCAGCAGATTGAGGGAGGTTATTCTGCCTCTTTACTCCACTCTGGCAAGACTCCACCTGGAGTACTGCTTCCAGCTCTAGAGTCCTCAGCACGTGAACAACCTGCAGGAATGGCTCCAGAGGAGGGCCACAAAGAGGATCAGAGGGCTGGAGCACCTCTCCTTTGAAGACCAGCTGAGAGAGTTGCGGTTGTTCAGCCTGGAGAAGAGTAAGCTCCGGAGAGACCTTATAGCAGCCTTCTAGTACCTGAAGGGAGCCTACAGGAAAAATGGGGAGGGACTCTTTATCAGGGAGTAGCGATAGGACAAGGGGTTTTAAACTGCAAAAGGGGAGATTTAGATTAGATCTTAGGAAGAAATGCATTGCTGTGAGGGTGGTGAGGTACTGGAACAGTTTGGCCAGAGAAGTTGTGGATGTCCCCTCCCTGGAAGTGTTCAAGGTCAAGCTGGATGGGGCTTTGAGAAACCTGGTCTAGTGGGAGGTGTCCCTGTCCCTGGCAGGGGGATTGCAACAAGATGATCTTTCCAACCTAGAATCGTAGAGTCATAGAATGATTTATGATAAATGATGGAAAGTGGCTTGGTGAGCACTTCTGCCAGCTCCCTTAGTACCCGTGGGTATATCCCATCTGGCCCCATTGACTTGCATGTGTCTAAGTGGTGTAGCAGATCATTAACTTGCTACAAGTCCAAGCCTCCGTGGACTATGGGGGCTTCATTCTGCTCCCCATCTCTGCCTTCCAGCTCAGGGGGCTGGGTACCCTGAGAACAGCTGAGCTTACTATGGAAGACAGAGGCAAAGAAGGCATTAAGTATCTCAGCCTCTTCATCATCCTTTGTCACTATGTTTCGCCCCTGCATCCAATAAAGGATGGAGATTCTCCTTAGCCCTCATTTTCTTTTGAATGTATTTATAGGAACGCTTGTATTTGCCTTTTACTGCAGTAGCCAAATTGAGTTCTAGTTGGGCTTTGGCCCTTTTCATTTTCTCCCTGCATAACCTCACGACACCCTTATAGTCCTCCTGAGTTGCCTGCCCTTTCTTCCAAAGGTCATAAACTCTTCCCCCTCCACATCCCGAGTTCCAGACAAAGCTCTCTGTTTAGCCAGCTGGTCTGCTTCCCTGCCTGCTCATCTTTCTGCACATATGGATGGACTACTCCTGAGCCTTTAAGATTTTTTTCTTGAATTATGTCCAGCCTTTGTGGACTCCTTTGCCCTTAAGGACTGTCTCCCAAGGGACTCTGTCAACCAGGCCCCTGAACAGGCCAAAGTCTGCCCTCTTAAAGTCCAAGGTAGTAGTTTTGCTAACTTGCCTCCCTACTCCGAGAATCGAAAACTCTATAATTTCATGATTGCTCTGCCCAAGATGGCCTCCAACCATCACATAACCCAGTATTCCTTCTCTGTTGCAAACAACAGGTCCAGTATGGTGCCTCCCCTAGCTGGCCTACTCACTAACTGTGTCAGGGTTGCATTTCCAGCAGACACCTGATAAGTTGAGCTCCCCACGAGAAAAAAATGCTAGTGATCACCAGACTTCTCCCAGCTGTTTACAAAATATTTCATCTGCTTCTTCCTCTTGGTTGGACCGTCTATAGCAGACTCCCACCATGATATCTGCCTTGTTGGCCTTTCACCCGTTTCTTACCCATAAACACTCAACCTTTTCATCATCGTCAAGCTCTAGACAGTCAAAATACTCCCTAACATATTCATGGCTACCCCATTGCCCCTCCTTCCTTGTCTATCCCTTCTGGAGAGTTCATAGCTATCCATTGCAGCACTCCAGTTGTGTGAGCCATCACACCATGTTTCTGTGACTGCAACTATATCATAGTTTTCCAGCTCCACAATGACTTCCATCTCCTCCTGTTTGGTGCCCATGCTGCGTGCATTGGTGCAGACAAACTTCAGTTGAGCTATTGATCCTCCCACATTTTTTGTGGAGAGGAGCCCTAATCCCTGTGTGACTGTTCTTGGGCATTTACATAGTTTCTAATGCATCAACAACACTTACATCTTTGCTGCCATGTGCATTCCCATCCCATCCCTTCACTGAGGTGCTGCATGCAAAGCTTCTGCGTGCATTAGTACAGGGACATTTCAAATGTGCTCACTGTGGAGCAGACTGAAGGACTTTGTTTGCAGACTGTCCCTCAAACATTAGTGTGCCACCCCCAGGCTTATCTCTAGTTCCATCCCTTTCCCCCTTCAAATCTAGTTCAAAGCTCTTTCAAAGAGCCCTGCTAACTCCTCATGTTACTTGTTGATTTCCTCAGGTGCAACTGACAGGCCACACCTGCCTCACAAAACTCTCCCATTTGGTCTGCTGGTCTTCTCTATGAGATGGAGAAAGGTGCTTCAGCACAGACCCATGCTCTGTCACCATGGAGGGAACAAGAGAACAATAGCAGCTGCTCCTATGGGTGTGCTGCCCTGTGCAGTCTTCCCCCTTCATCAGCAGAAGCAGCAGTCCAGACCACCAGATCAGGAAGTTCCAGTCCCACAGCACCCACTGCTACTGTTCACCTCTAACAGGTAGTAGGTGTGGAGACCAAGTTTAGGAGCTGCAAACTTGGCCTGCACAGATGTATGCTTGCATAAAATCCAGAATTCATCTTCATGAGCCAAAGATGAAGAGTCAATGAAACCACAGGCTGTGCATGAATATTTATGGCATTTAGGGTCCTGTTCTCTCTCACACAATCATGTGGAAGGATTATGCAGTAACTCCAAACTTAACTAATACTCCCTCAAAATGTTTTTCTTGTCTTTTGTTGTTTCTGAAAAAAACTAAAAAGAATTGCTCTTGTAGTAAGGTGCAGCAGCACAGCTGGAAGAAAAACAAATATTTTCTATAAATTGGCTTTCTAGAAAGATATGGTTTTACTACTGAACGATATGTTTTGACCCATATTGAGCTTTCCAAGTGTTAAAATACTGTATTAGTATTGGTAGAGATAAAAGAAAACCTATTCTGAAGAGCTAAGAGATTTCTGAAATGTGACTTCTTAAAAACTTAACATACTGGCAAGGCTAAACACAGCCTGCAACATCTTAAGATACAATAATTTTCAGCTCCTTTTAATAGACTGTAAAAATTTTCCATGATACAAAATGGATTTTTTTTACAATTATATATACAATATACATAATATATATTAATATATAACAACATAATCTACTCTTCCTTTCACAATTTTAGTCACTTGTTCCTTGTACAAACCCACATTCTTGTTACAAATATTTTTGTCTGCTAATGTACCTATAAGATGCACTTATGTGAACTCTCTAAGGGAAAAATAAGAGACACAATATGAAGATAAAAGGTTTTTTGTTCTTTTTTTTTTTGAAGTACAAACTCAAGAGAGGTCTGACTTTTATCAACTGACTTTTATCTTAAGAATAACAGCTCCTGTTGTGCAGAAATCCAAAAGAAGAGAAAAAACCCCAAATGTTAATTGTAGAAACTTTCTAACACTGAAAAATAACTAATGTATGAGTACACTATAAAGGTTAGTAAAACAACCATGCATTAGCTTACTTTATTTCGGGAGTAACAATTTCTGCTGCTAAACTGTCTGAAGGCTCTTGTCTTCCCAGAGGCATCAATCCTGGGTTAGGAAAAACAAAAAATTCAGCAAGCAGACCAGTGACTTTCTCTACAAGACCAGAAGTAAACAACGTTCTAGAAGTTTACAGTTTTAGAGTAATGTGAGACAATGGAAAATTGTCAGCAATGTCAGGCTACAGCAAGATAGACAAGCATAATACATTTGGAGAATAATCAATATTTCTGTCTTTATCCATTCTGATGAAGTGATTTTGAGGTATATTTTCTGCTCACTAGCTTATCTAAGAACTACAGAGCTGTGCAACATCACACATAGAAATAAACTACAACACATGAAACAGACACACACGAGAAAACTTAATATCTGTCTAAATAAAATGATGCAACTACACAGAAATCTGAAACACATTATAAAAATACCACACTGGGCAGGAGACTAAAATTTCTGGCTGAATGAAATTACAAAGTTATGAATAGTCTAATCAGTTTTTCACTGCTGATCTTAGAGGAGTTTATTCTGTTCTAAAAAAAAGTACATTCAATATTCCCCAGAAAAGTGCCGCAAACTTTAGAGAAGATACATTTAATCTCCTTATTTGCCCATTACCTGTTGTGGTGAGTTGACCCTCCTGAGCTTGTACACATCTGAGCTCTTCAATGGTTTCTTTCAAAGAATCCCTTTCTGTTCTTAATCTCTGAATAATTGGAAAGAGAATGAATATCAGTCTTGGCAGTATAAATCTGTCTTTACCAGTACACAAGTTGCAAAAGGCACAGCATTCAACATTTTAAAAAGAATTTAATGCAATTCTAGATATGATTTTCCAATTAAGACATCTCATTGTATTTCATAACAGGATAAACATAAATATTATATATTCCACGTGAACAGTGGATTTTTTTGAATCGTGTTGCTGCTCTGCATTACACTTATGAGGGTAAAAATATGAGGGTGCAAGATTACAAAATCAAGATATTAGTGACACAAAGTTCTGGTACCAGGTGGTAAACAGCACCCAGTGGGGCCACCCACTCAGCCATCCTCTTTTTTCCCTCATTGTAGCTGATTCCAAGGGAAAGAGAAGTGAATTAAGAGATCATAGACTTTTCCCTCACCAAGAAACCACAGTTCATCCAGGAGTGAAATAAAAAGCAGATGAGTACAGAATCAGCACAACAAACAAACTGCATTAACTTCTCTTTGTCTTTTAACAGTGAAAATGTGATCAGCATTTCCATATCCCCTTCCTCCTACGTGTCAACTGGTCTTGCCATTTACCAGCATCTTAGCTACAGAAGAAAACTAGTCGCTTGAGGCTCAATCCAAAGAGAACTGAAGAAGAGGACTGGACCACCTTGGGATCTAGGTGATGGGCTCTTTAGTAGCATCACTAATATCTTGATTTTTAAATACGTTCCCAATTTGGTACAAGCCCCCTTTGGCAAAAAATGGGTACCTACAGAGAGCGTCAAGTTTTTGTTCAGAAGGTTGCCAAGATTCAAAAATGAATCAAGGAAATGGCAACTATGTAAAGATCCAAGTTGTAGGTTGCTCCAAAATCAGACATGTCCAGTATTACTATAAGATCAAGGGCAGACCTTGGCTCTGTGTAGGTATGGAATTGTGTTAGCTGACAGCTCGTTGCATTTCATCCCATTAGCAGTTAGCCATCACACCATGTTTCTGTGACTGCAACTATATCATAGTTTTCCAGCTCCACAATGACTTCCATCTCCTCCTGTTTGGTGCCCATGCTGCGTGCATTGGTGCAGACAAACTTCAGTTGAGCTATTGATCCTCCCACATTTTTTGTGGAGAGGAGCCCTAATCCCTGTGTGACTGTTCTTGGGCATTTACATAGTTTCTAATGCATCAACAACACTTACATCTTTGCTGCCATGTGCATTCCCATCCCATCCCTTCACTGAGGTGCTGCATGCAAAGCTTCTGCGTGCATTAGTACAGGGACATTTCAAATGTGCTCACTGTGGAGCAGACTGAAGGACTTTGTTTGCAGACTGTCCCTCAAACATTAGTGTGCCACCCCCAGGCTTATCTCTAGTTCCATCCCTTTCCCCCTTCAAATCTAGTTCAAAGCTCTTTCAAAGAGCCCTGCTAACTCCTCATGTTACTTGTTGATTTCCTCAGGTGCAACTGACAGGCCACACCTGCCTCACAAAACTCTCCCATTTGGTCTGCTGGTCTTCTCTATGAGATGGAGAAAGGTGCTTCAGCACAGACCCATGCTCTGTCACCATGGAGGGAACAAGAGAACAATAGCAGCTGCTCCTATGGGTGTGCTGCCCTGTGCAGTCTTCCCCCTTCATCAGCAGAAGCAGCAGTCCAGACCACCAGATCAGGAAGTTCCAGTCCCACAGCACCCACTGCTACTGTTCACCTCTAACAGGTAGTAGGTGTGGAGACCAAGTTTAGGAGCTGCAAACTTGGCCTGCACAGATGTATGCTTGCATAAAATCCAGAATTCATCTTCATGAGCCAAAGATGAAGAGTCAATGAAACCACAGGCTGTGCATGAATATTTATGGCATTTAGGGTCCTGTTCTCTCTCACACAATCATGTGGAAGGATTATGCAGTAACTCCAAACTTAACTAATACTCCCTCAAAATGTTTTTCTTGTCTTTTGTTGTTTCTGAAAAAAACTAAAAAGAATTGCTCTTGTAGTAAGGTGCAGCAGCACAGCTGGAAGAAAAACAAATATTTTCTATAAATTGGCTTTCTAGAAAGATATGGTTTTACTACTGAACGATATGTTTTGACCCATATTGAGCTTTCCAAGTGTTAAAATACTGTATTAGTATTGGTAGAGATAAAAGAAAACCTATTCTGAAGAGCTAAGAGATTTCTGAAATGTGACTTCTTAAAAACTTAACATACTGGCAAGGCTAAACACAGCCTGCAACATCTTAAGATACAATAATTTTCAGCTCCTTTTAATAGACTGTAAAAATTTTCCATGATACAAAATGGATTTTTTTTACAATTATATATACAATATACATAATATATATTAATATATAACAACATAATCTACTCTTCCTTTCACAATTTTAGTCACTTGTTCCTTGTACAAACCCACATTCTTGTTACAAATATTTTTGTCTGCTAATGTACCTATAAGATGCACTTATGTGAACTCTCTAAGGGAAAAATAAGAGACACAATATGAAGATAAAAGGTTTTTTGTTCTTTTTTTTTTTGAAGTACAAACTCAAGAGAGGTCTGACTTTTATCAACTGACTTTTATCTTAAGAATAACAGCTCCTGTTGTGCAGAAATCCAAAAGAAGAGAAAAAACCCCAAATGTTAATTGTAGAAACTTTCTAACACTGAAAAATAACTAATGTATGAGTACACTATAAAGGTTAGTAAAACAACCATGCATTAGCTTACTTTATTTCGGGAGTAACAATTTCTGCTGCTAAACTGTCTGAAGGCTCTTGTCTTCCCAGAGGCATCAATCCTGGGTTAGGAAAAACAAAAAATTCAGCAAGCAGACCAGTGACTTTCTCTACAAGACCAGAAGTAAACAACGTTCTAGAAGTTTACAGTTTTAGAGTAATGTGAGACAATGGAAAATTGTCAGCAATGTCAGGCTACAGCAAGATAGACAAGCATAATACATTTGGAGAATAATCAATATTTCTGTCTTTATCCATTCTGATGAAGTGATTTTGAGGTATATTTTCTGCTCACTAGCTTATCTAAGAACTACAGAGCTGTGCAACATCACACATAGAAATAAACTACAACACATGAAACAGACACACACGAGAAAACTTAATATCTGTCTAAATAAAATGATGCAACTACACAGAAATCTGAAACACATTATAAAAATACCACACTGGGCAGGAGACTAAAATTTCTGGCTGAATGAAATTACAAAGTTATGAATAGTCTAATCAGTTTTTCACTGCTGATCTTAGAGGAGTTTATTCTGTTCTAAAAAAAAGTACATTCAATATTCCCCAGAAAAGTGCCGCAAACTTTAGAGAAGATACATTTAATCTCCTTATTTGCCCATTACCTGTTGTGGTGAGTTGACCCTCCTGAGCTTGTACACATCTGAGCTCTTCAATGGTTTCTTTCAAAGAATCCCTTTCTGTTCTTAATCTCTGAATAATTGGAAAGAGAATGAATATCAGTCTTGGCAGTATAAATCTGTCTTTACCAGTACACAAGTTGCAAAAGGCACAGCATTCAACATTTTAAAAAGAATTTAATGCAATTCTAGATATGATTTTCCAATTAAGACATCTCATTGTATTTCATAACAGGATAAACATAAATATTATATATTCCACGTGAACAGTGGATTTTTTTGAATCGTGTTGCTGCTCTGCATTACACTTATGAGGGTAAAAATATGAGGGTGCAAGATTACAAAATCAAGATATTAGTGACACAAAGTTCTGGTACCAGGTGGTAAACAGCACCCAGTGGGGCCACCCACTCAGCCATCCTCTTTTTTCCCTCATTGTAGCTGATTCCAAGGGAAAGAGAAGTGAATTAAGAGATCATAGACTTTTCCCTCACCAAGAAACCACAGTTCATCCAGGAGTGAAATAAAAAGCAGATGAGTACAGAATCAGCACAACAAACAAACTGCATTAACTTCTCTTTGTCTTTTAACAGTGAAAATGTGATCAGCATTTCCATATCCCCTTCCTCCTACGTGTCAACTGGTCTTGCCATTTACCAGCATCTTAGCTACAGAAGAAAACTAGTCGCTTGAGGCTCAATCCAAAGAGAACTGAAGAAGAGGACTGGACCACCTTGGGATCTAGGTGATGGGCTCTTTAGTAGCATCACTAATATCTTGATTTTTAAATACGTTCCCAATTTGGTACAAGCCCCCTTTGGCAAAAAATGGGTACCTACAGAGAGCGTCAAGTTTTTGTTCAGAAGGTTGCCAAGATTCAAAAATGAATCAAGGAAATGGCAACTATGTAAAGATCCAAGTTGTAGGTTGCTCCAAAATCAGACATGTCCAGTATTACTATAAGATCAAGGGCAGACCTTGGCTCTGTGTAGGTATGGAATTGTGTTAGCTGACAGCTCGTTGCATTTCATCCCATTAGCAGTTTGAGTCAGGTCTATTTTATATTTCAGCCCAAATAAATCCGGGACATAGAATCACTTTGGCAAAAAACATTTTGGTGAAGTGTGACAAAGGCTTCTGTATTTCTGAATGCTGGAAAGTGAACTCTGGTGCAACTGTCAGAACAACTTGAATAAAGTGTACATTCTGTTAGCACTGAAAGTCATTTCAAAAACCCCACAGGTGAAAAAACTGTTTTTACCATAAATACTACAGAAGAACAGCCACAGAGAAGACTGCACAAATTCAGCTGCTGAAAGCAAGGATTTTGCAGTCTGCTACTATCAGTCAGAAAATACCAGGTTGATTAATTAAATGCCAGAACATTTTAATGAATAGAAAAAGCTCTAGGGCTTCATTTGTACACTAAAGGCAAAATCAACTCATCAGATTACCTTAGTACTTATCATACAACACACCACAGAAGTAAAATTCCAAGTTTATTAGCTGAAGATATTAATCATGCTACCACACTTTGCCAGAACACAGAGAAAAGGACAAAATCAATTTCAGTAACTTTCCAAAATATAACTGACAAGACACCACTGGTAAATTGTGCCCTGTGGCGGGCATATGTGGTACATCCTTTTGGTCCTGTGGTACATATGTGACAACAGGAAACAGAAAGAGTAGGTAACACAGGTAGTGAATCACTAATTCAAATATTGAGAGACTCCAGCTGTCTTCAGCTGGAGTCTCACAGGTGCATATCCATTGCACTTCTCACAGGTGCACTCCCATTTAAAAGAACATATTGAAAACAATGTGTCCCCCAAAATGCTACTTGCCAGGGAGTAAAGCAGAAAGCTGTATGACAATGCCCTGCAATTCAGATCCTTTGTGCAAGATGAAATGGTCCACCAAGCAATGTGTAAGCCACATATGGAACCTTACCATTGGTCAAACAACAAAACTGGAAAAACAAACTTTAACTAAAAAGCAGGAAAGAAAGTCAAAGCACAGTACAATCTGAAGGGCAGATGGAAGTGACATCAAGGACAAATGTCCACAATAGTTTTAAAATTTAATAAGATATGGAAATCAAAAACCTATGAACAGAAAATAGCTGAAAACTTTTAGTTCAAATGCTATTCAAGTGCAGGGGCTGGAAATTTTGAAAAGAATTGGACAGGAAACATAACTACTGAGGGAAAAGCCAACAGAGATTCTGAGGGATAGATGAATTTAAAATAAGCCTAAGAAATTGCTAATTCAAAGTGCTGGCCTTTGTTTGAGGTAGTTTGAGCACCTGCATATACTATGAAACAAGTCAAAATAATCTGATGAAAAACGAGAGCGTGCAAAAGAAATCTGAAGGATCAGTCTTGGAAAGAGAGGACAGAGCAATGAATTGCAGGATCACAGCAAATGACAGTGAAGAAGGGAACAGACTGGTATCCATCCTGTGTGTTCCATGTTGGCAGTACAAGAAAGATCAACAAGGAGCTGTCATAAAAGGGAAGATCATCACAAAGGAAACGTCCCTCTACACAACTCTTAAGCTTCTTGCTGCAGTAGTCATAACTCCAGAAAGAGAAGCATGTTGACGGTAACTCAAAGAATGCTTTAGAAAAAATGCAACAGGGGATACCACAGAAGCCCTACTTTAAATAGTTTTTCAGAATACATTACAATTACCCTGGATCTTTATTAACCTTCACATGGTAAATGGTCAAGAAACAACTTCAGATCCCAAGTATGAAAGATTTTCCTCTTAAAAATAGGTTGCATATGTTTCTGTACGGTCACTTTATTCCATGCTGTACAGTTCTTAGGTTTAAAAAGGACCTTGCACACAAATTTTAAGTGAAAAAAGGCTTCCTAATTTAAAAAGCTTGCTGTAAGTGGCTAATTATAATTAGCATATCTCTGTGTTATAAAGGATAAAAAGTTGCTATTGCTACAAGCAAAAAAATAACACCTTGGCACTTACATCTTTTTCTTTTTGGAGGCTGTCTACTTTTTCTTTCAGTCGTTTGCATTCATAATCTAATTTATCAGCTTTCTTGGATTCTTCAGATAACCTGTTTTGTAGTTCAACTGCCTGTGAGAACAAGAACCAATAATTTTTCTCCAAATATTAAAACAAAATACATAAGACAAAGTAGCCAATTACCATGCACCATGAGTCATGTTGTAAATAAGTGAAATAGTTACCTATAGGACATACTAAAAACTGCTTTCATCAGTTGTTCTGCATTTCAGCAAAATCAACAGCATTCAAATATTAGGTTCTCAGCACAAGCAAAAGAAGCAAAAACTGCAAAGTACTTTCAGTACATCTGAAAACAAGAATTTAAGCCCAAACATGGTTTATAGGAAAAAGCTACATAGTTCTATGGATCAAAGAGCTTAGGAAAAGTAAAATAAAATCTGCTCCTGCCTTCTGAGAAGCCTAGGAAAAAGAAAAAGCTGATGGAATCATATTATCTACACCCTTTGTTCAATCTATTTCACAAGCCTCATTTGGAATTAGACCACCAGTTTATGCAATCAGGTAACATTTCTTAACCTATGATTTTCCTAACCGTTTTTAATACACTAATATAAAGATTCAGCCACAAGCTCATAAACAGTTTTCTGTACTTCAGAAGCAAACATTGTTAGTTATGTTGCATATATACTTTCCACTACAGATCAGTAAAGAGCTTTTAAAATTACATAAGCAGAAATCTGAAAGCTGAGCAGAAACAATCAGTGAACAGGAGGCAAATCATTAAGTCTTGCCTTCTCAAGACTTTCAGCCTGTACTAGAAAAGGCTCATTCCCAGAACATTAGTAAAGCTCATAATGCACAGAGCACGGAAGCAAGTAAGCTGAACGAAGACTAACCTGCAAATGCAAAAGCTGAATGAAGACTCAGCTAAAGACATATAGCTTCTTCTGAAGCAATTCATAAGAAGGTTTTTTCATGGCTTTTAGATTATCGAGAAAGTGATCAACTTAAATTGTGAAGCAAAGCAGTAGCCATACCTACATTAAGACTGTCCAATGGTTCTAATTATCTTTTATGTTCAATGTGTATAGCTAGAGCAAAATAACTACTAGGCCTAAAAATCTGCATTGTCTTAAGTCTTAGAAAAGAACTTTGCTGCTGTTGTTCTTAAATTAAAGGCTGCAAAAAAAAGCACAGGCCTGCCATTTCTGAGATTGCCAGATTAAAAAAATAGTTAGATATGACAGTATTTCATTTCTCAGATCTATCACTGGGGCTATCAGAATAACTGCAGGTAAAAAAAAAAAAGCAGGCCTTCAACTGTGATTGTGCCACTGCTTGCAAAATAGGTATATTTTCACCTCAAATGGAAATGAACACATTAATGTTTGTAATCAGTCATGCTATGATAATGGTATGTAGAAAAACACAGCAGGATATAAATTGTCTTGAATTAGGTCTTGGAAGTGTATAGAAAGATATACAGCTACATGGTAATGCGAAGATTAAAAAAAAAAACAACTGCCATCATGTTTACTGAGCATTATCTGATGTGTGGAATGATTAAAGCAGGAATCTAGCAGCGAGGAAAAGCAAGACATACTGTTAAAAATATATCAGAATGCACATGCACAAAGGGGCTGAATTCAAATCACAAAAATTCATCCTGGAATCTTCACATTTCAATTCTTCATGCTACAATCAAAAGTTTCCTAGAAAATGCTTGTGATTGCTTTTAGAAAAGTGAGCAAAACCTCTTAAATAAATAAATGTTATTACATCTCCCAGCACAATACACCACCACTAACCTCATCTCACAGAAACTGCTGGGTGAAGATGCGATTTTCTTGCAGATCACTATAGGAGTTTGAACCAAGCACTTTCATCTGCAGAAGTCAGAGCTTCTAAACCAAAGAAATAACTCCTCTGACAGCATCATCATGAGTAGGGTTGGATCTTTCACACACCAGATGAGACACATTCCACTACAGGGGCACACTAGTTCTCAGCAGTGACATAACATCAGAATCCTTATACTGGCTTAATTCTTATAGCACAATTTAGTATTCCCAGAAATTAATTTTGTGACAGCTCATGATTTACAGGCAGGTCTCAAGAGGAGCCCTGCATTACAGACACTGAAGGCAAACACACTGTGTGTTCGTTTTGAGGCACTAGGGTTAGGTGAAGAAAACTGACATCTGTCACAGAGCTTTATGCCAGTTTCAGCCAGCGAAACAGTTTTGTACAAATCAACAGCTCCTCAGACATGAAATCCTACCCTTAAAACACAGGAAATCATGAAGAACAAGAGTCCTTTTGCAATGCAAATTATGGACTGCCCTTTCCAAAATTGTTATTGTTGGTAAATAAGAACAGTCAGATGCAGATGTCAAAGTTACACAACTACATCACATGCTCAGCTGCTTAATGGAGCGAAATATTTCTTTCCAGTAAACATGATACTACTCATGTGTGAAAGGCCATTGCTTTCTACATTTAATTTTCCCTTTGATTGTCTGTTATTTCAGTGGTTTTTTTGTCCAAGTTCCCTTTTTTCTGGTGAAATAATTTGGACTGTATTTACAATCAGCTCACAGAAGTTGAAGCCAGTTGTTTTAATAACGAAGATGGCCAGGTACAGAGAAAAAGCTATCAAGTCTTAGGGACACACATTGCTCCTGGGCTTGCAGAGTTGTCAGTTATTGTTTCTGTATTTTTATTCTGCTGTAAGATGATGCATAGGGACCTCTGTGGCATGACCATCTGAGGTTATGAGAAGGCAGAAATACAGAGCAAGCACTACTACTTAAATGAATCACGCTCTGCCTGGCCCTGTAACAAGAATCCCAGAATGATGTCATCTTAATGTAGTGTAGAAGCAGAGAGAAGATTAAGCCCATCTTCCACCTTTACAGAAATAGAATCACATGGCACTTTGGTAAGCAGGAGGCCTTTCACTCCAGAGAGTGTGCTGGTGACACATTTTGTACTCTGCTGGGTGCGTATAAAGAACAGGGATGATATGCAACCTTCTCTCTTCATAAATGGACAAATTCAGATGTATCAGACAAACCAAAACCTTAAAAAAAAATAGGTTACTTAACCACAGGCATAACTTACCTCAGCTGTGGTGCATTCCTCACTGGTGGAAATTTCTAATAGAAAAGTGGGTACTTTTTCTGAAAGAAGAGGCTCTAATTCAAGCCCCACTATTGAACACAAATTAGGAATAATTTGAGGGAAAAAAACCCTTAACATCTGATGATTTTTTAAAAGTAAGAAATACTGCTTATTGGCAAATGAATAGAAACAACGTAACGATAAGAACTCCAGGAAATAAGGATCTACAAAACATGGAAATGTCCTAAACACAAGGACCTGTTTGTTCATAATTTCTTTTTCACTTTGAGGCATTAGGCACGTTATGAAGAGAAAGTGTTGAACAATACAGAGAACTGTTGCATTGATTATATCTGTTCTCACCTGTCTCTTGTATGTTTCCAGTTGACTGCGCGCTGCGTTGGCCTTCCTTAGTTCTTCTTCCAGGCTCACGGTATTCTGCATGTACATTGTATTCTTCTCTTCTAAGAGTTTCACTTGCCGTCGCAAATCACCCAAGTCTTCCAATTTCTTTTTGTATGACTCTACCTGGCTTTCCAACTTAGCTACCTTATCAGAAGAATGCCTGGAGAGACAGATTTGTATCAAATTTGTACTCTGAAAACTACTTCCTCAGTATTTTGCCTTAATGCAGAAGATGTCCTGAGAATCATGGGGAGACCAAGAAAGCAATCATATCCTCCTGTCACTAGTGCTTTCACTTTAAAAGCTTTCGCTTTAAATTGTCGTCTTCCCTCCGATAACTATTTGTCAACTTAAAGAGCTGCTGCTGAAGGCACTTTTAGACACTATCACTCTTCCTAATGCAGCCTTATCTGCTTCCAATCTTAAAATAATAGTTAAAGCACCTTCATTCCTACCCATTTCCTTTCAATTCTAAATCAATCCTCAATTCTGCATTTTACAAGGGTAAAGAATAAAATCATCTGTCCTTCAATTTGTTTTAATGATGGTCAGGAATAAAATATAAGGATCTATCTCCAGGGCAGCACATACTTGGTGACACAGAAGTACCACAACAGTTTTGGAGCCCGATTCCTTCTTGTCCTGGTTTCAGCTAGGATAGAGTTAATTTTCTTCCTAGTAGCTGCTGTGTTTTTGGATTTAGTATGAGAATAATCTTGACAACTCAGTTGTTGCTAAGTAATGTTTACATTAGCCAAGATTTCTTTTAGCTTCCAAAAAGGCTGAGAGGGAGCATATACAGGACAAGCTGGCCAAAGGAAAACCATAAACGTCATGGTCTGTCTATAAATGGAGGTTGGCCAGGGGGCAGGATTGCACGGTTGCTGCTTGGTATTGGCTGTGCAATCAATCATCAGGGGGTGAGAGTGACTTGTGTCGTACCCCTTTATTTTGTATATTCGTTTACCATTATTATTACTATTAGTAGTATTTTCCTCTTCTGTTACTGTTCTATTAAACTATCTTTATCTCAACTCATAAGTTGTTTTCCTCTCCTTTTCTCCCTCTTCTTCCAACCCTGCTTGGGGACAGTGAGGGGGATAAGGGGAATGGGAATGAGAGAGTAGCTCCATGGTCCTAGCTGCTGGCTGGGGTTAAACCATGACACTTCTAAAAAAAACAAATGAAAAAAAAGAAACACCAAACTCCATTCAAAACACTTCAGAGTTTTTTCAATCCAGCTGCCACACTGCCAGGACAATGGCCCTCATCCCCAATCAGCCATACCTCCACTACTCCTACTGTCCTCAGTTTCATTTTAGAACCAACTGATTTACAGACTCAATTTCCTATGAAATCTGGAGAATCCTCCATTCACTTGATAGCATTCTATGATGAACCAAAAGCTCCACCCAAAGTCCAAATAATACAAATCCAGGAAAGGAAAGGGTCCAGTTCCCTGGTGAGAACCCATGCCCAAGTAATGATTAAGACAAGTAGAGAATATTCAAGAGACCAGCAAGTGACTTGTTATGACCATAAGATGGTGTAGGATTGCTAAGTTTACTAATAGTTATTGATTAGGCACATAATAAATAACTAATTTACTTAAGCAGAATTGTGCGGTGGTCTGTGTACGTAACCAGATCCAACGATTGGATTCTTGTGGATGTAACGATCCAAACGAACCATTTATATTTAATATCAAAATCATTTAAACAAAAGCTAATGAAAACTAAGTACACGAATTATATAGATTAGAAGTTAATAGTTAAAAAATGGCTAATGGAACAGAGTTTACCTGAGTACATCTATCTCATCCTTCAACGATTGAGCCTCTTCTGCCAAGGTTGTAAGCTCTTCTGTTTGTTGTCTCAGTTCAGCAATTTCCTTTTCCAGTTCTTCACAGCGTATTCTGTAGTCATCTTTGGCAGCTTCTAATCTGCAGAAGTCAAACATAAAAAATTTCTCATCTTCAACCACAGTTACCTTTCCTCCTCATCATCCTCTCTGATTGAAGGAACTGGCTGGATGGTCGCATCCAAAGGGTAGTACTCAATGGCTTGAAGTCCAGATGGAGACCAGTCACAAGTGGTGTCCCTCAAGGGTCCATGCTGGGACTGACACTGTTTAACATTTTTAGCAATGATATAGACAGAGCGATTAAAGGCACTGTCAGCAAGTTTGCAGACGGCACCAAGCTGTGTGGTGTTGTCGATACACCAGAGGGATGGGATGCCATCCAGAAGGACCTGGACAGGCTGGAGAGGTGGGCCCACATGAACCTTATAAGGTTCAACATGAACAAGTGCAAGGTTCTGCACCTGGGCCGGAACAATCCTTGCCATCAGTACACACTAGGGGGTGAGGTATTAGAAAACAGCACTGAGGAAAGGGACTTGGGGGTGCGGGTGGACAAGAAGGTGGACATGAGCAGGCAGTGTGCAGTTGCAGCCTAGAAGGCCAATCACATCCTGGGCTGCATCAAAAGATGCATTGCTAGCAGGTCCAGAGAGGTGATTCTTCTGCTTTACTCTGCTCTGGTGAGACCTCACCTGGAGTATTGTGTGCAGGTCTGGAGCCCTCAATATAGGAAAGATATGGACCTGAAGGAGCAGGTCCAGAGGAGGGCCACGAGGATGATCAGGGGGTTGAAGCACCTCTGCTACAAGGACAGGCTGAGGGAGCTGGGGTTGTTCAGCCTGGAGAAGAGAAGGTTCCAGGGAGACCTAATAGCAGCCTTCCAGTACCTGAAGGGAGCCTACAGGAAGGCTGGGGAGAGCTTATTCACAAAGGCCTGTAGTGACAGGACGAGGGCAATGGCTTTGAACTCGAGGGGAGCAGATTTAGATTGGAGATTAGGAGAAAGTTCTTTACTGTGAGGGTGGTGGAGCACGGAAACAGGTTGCCCAGGGAGCTGGTTGAGGCCCCATCCCTGGAGATAATCAAGGTGAGGCTCGATGAGCTTTTATCCTAAGATTTTGCTCAGCTGTTCAACTCCTACACACTTTCAATAATATTGACCTGATTATCAGATGTTCTAAATGCTACAGAGCTCTCACCAAGGTGGCTTAATTTCTTTATTTACTTACTTATAAAGAACCTGTGCCTACTCAGTACCTCTGAAAAACTAAGTTATGCATTTAATTATCTAGTTAGCAAAGTAAAATACTCAGGAAGACCAAAATTTCTGGAGTGAACTACCAACATACAGTATACACAGGCAAAGTTGCATTAACCTGGCAGTAAATAAAGGGAGTAACTAAAAGAAGCTTTATCAAAGCATCTTGAAGCAATGGAGGAGGATACATCCTAGAACATGAAGTCCTATTGTCATTTTGATCTGAAATTAAAAGAAAAACAATCCAGAAAAGGATGTATGGGCATGAGAAACAAAAAAAAAACCACAAAAACAAAGCCAAAAACAAAAACCAGAAAAAGAAAAAAGAAAGAAGCATTCTGTCCATCAATTCAAGAAGTCCAAAAAGCATCTAGAAGAATGGGGATAGTCAGTAGGTCATCTAAATCATACGCAACACAGATTTGGATTGTGATAGACCAGAACTGTCAAAGGACATAAGGAAGCAAGACTGGGAGAAAAAACTGCTGTGCCACGCTCAACATCAATCAGTCTGTACGTATGTCCTGTTTGGTCAGGGAGAACTGGAGAATGAACACAGACAAATTGCCATTAGAAACCACTTGCTATGAAGGTGGAGGGAGGAGGCTCATGAAAATGGTTTAAAAAGACCTTCAAAACCTGAAACTAGAGTTAACAGGCAGTGCTGATATTTTGCATATGGGGAGAAAACCGGTTCAAACAGCAATTGATAACAGACTCAGGTAGGAATCATTTCAGAGCATGGAGATGAATAAGGAGAGACATAAAGGCACATAAAAGAGACATGACTACATTATTCCTTTACATGGTTGATGTATAGAAAGAAGAAAACCAGGCACTAGCTGCTGTGAAAGAGAAACACTGAACATTTTTTAAGAAATTGAAGGGAGAGGGTTGTGTTTGAATATGTGGGAAAGAGGCTTAGAAAAAGGAAGTGGAAAAACGGCACAACAGGTGAAAAAGCAGTTACGTATCAGCTGACATAATAATTAGAAAAGGGCAACCAGAAAAAGACAGAAAGAGAAGAAAAACTGGTACTATAAAGAAATACCATAGTTTCACTCATAAAGGATAGGGAAGGTACAGCAACAAGAATGAAAAGATGACGGTGAAGTGGCCCAGCTTTGTTCAGCAGAATATGCTAACAGAGCCTGAAAGCAACAATCAAAAGGACCAGAAAGGATATTTAAAAAGGAACTGTACTTCCACGTGTAGAGGAAATCCAAATGAAAAACAGAGTTCACTTAAGGATAATCTCCATGTTTCAGGTATGAAACAATTAGTTTTCAAGCTCAGAGGATACATTTTGCTGTATAATAACATCACCTGTAGTACTGCCCATAGCAAACTTTCAGCTAGGAATTCCTACGCACTAAAAATAAAATCAGAACAATCTACATAAAAGAAAGCGTGCTGCTTTTCATTCTCACTGATTTTGAAAAATATGGGTGAACTGACTGCACACAAACAATTGAAAATAACTTCACAGAGTAGAGAGTGACACCTATGCAGCACTTCAGCATTAAGAAATGATGCATTTTTTGTGCTGGAGTTTGTAAAGAGGTAGATCTTAAAATGTACATTCACTCTCAAAACTTAACTAATGTGGTTATACCAATCATTATACTAATTCATAATTAATAGCAGGATCAGAAGTATGTAAGTCATGTTGCCAGTTACCACCAACAACCTAACCAAGTGTAGCTTTTCTACCTGAATGTTTCCTCTTGGAGTTGTTCTAGTTGTGTCTGCAGCTGCAAATGCCTACGACCTGCAGGGCTGTTGGGATCTTCAATAGAATCAGATTGATTTAAACGTTCCATCAAAATCTGGTTCTCGGCAAGCAAGCTGCTCTTCTCCTCCTGGAGGGCTGCAACCTGTTGTAATAAAAGCATAAACCGCAATCACTGAGCTCTCCAGCTTAAGAGAGCAATTTTATTTTTGTATGCATAATAAAGTATCAATACAACCCAGAAATGGAAACACACAGGCTTGAATAATACCATTTCACAAGAATATACTGTAACATTAATAGGTTATTAAATTGCTATGTGATGTAACCACCATACTGCAACATTAGGGGCAGATTTACCAGAAAATAGAACTATTCTTAACTGTATTTCGCACAAGCATCTAAAGAAAAAGTTTCAGTTATAACCAACTTCATTATAGTAAAGTCTGCATACTTTCCCAACAAATAAAACTAGCCCTCCACAGTAAAGCTTTTAAAACGGTTTTCCAATAGAAACAATGCCTTCAATCACACAGAATAGCCAAGCCTGCATACCCAAGGGATGGCTGCGCACTTCATAATATTTTTTTTTTAATTCAGTGGCCAATTGCAAGTAGACCTGAAACAGGAACACAGTCCAAATGATGACTTAATTTCCGCCAATGTTGTGAAAACAGGCAGTGGTGCAAAGAACCCGAACTATGCAACACAACTAACAGCTGAAGCATGGGTTCATATATTATTAAATAGAATAAAATTAACGTGCAGGGGGAGGAGGGGGAGGGAGAGAGAATATGAATATCTCAACAGAAGGAAATACTTCAATAAGAGTTTGAATCATCAGATACACCAAAATCAACCATGACACACAAATCAGCTTCATTAATTCTAACAGTTACAGAACTGCTTGGCAAAAGCCTCAATTATACTTCAAAGTAGGGTTGCAACGGCAATGCCTTTTGGGGCTCCCACTTAGCACTCTCCATGTCTTTCTGGATGAGGTATGCTTGATTTATAGAAAGGTTTAGTCTAAACCCAGATAGAGCTGAGAGGCTACAGTAACTTCTGATTGAGATTTAACTCGTAACTGAAACTGTTGCAGCAGGAAAATTTCTATTAGTTCTCTAATGCAAGAGCTGAACCTCACAGCTCAACTCCTTCCTACTTGAATGAAAAAAGTAGTTTTGTTAGTATGAATGACCTTAATATTGGCAACATTGCATCAAGATAAGAAAACAATGAAATTCACTCTGCTAGGTCAAAAGTAAAGCAAAATAATTACTGTGCAATTTTCATATACCTTTTAAAAATTATGTTTTCACACTATATTTATTGTTCTCAGCTGCCTACAAATTAACACATCTCTTTCCCACTTCAAAATTAATATGCACAATATAGCAAACTTACCTGCATATCTAACTCATGACATCTCTGGGCAATTTCTTCTTTTGTTGCTAGTGCTTCGTTTAATTCTTCTGTAGTTTTCTTCAGCTACCATAAACAACAAACAATGATAACTTCATCACCCTCTGTGAAGTGTCTAAAAATATTCTGAACTACATGACTGCATAATTATTTTTACATTTAGGTAATATCTTAATTTTTTGGAAAATTGAGGCAATTATGCTCTTATAAAGAAACACAGAAGCAGATATGATTACTGTTCATTTTGTGCTGGATACCTGCTGCAATAAAAAGTAAATACACCTAAATTTGGCTTTAAAAAATACATCACAGTTATCCCATCTATTCAATGAATTGAGACAAAAAATCCTGAAGAACTTGGGTCTGAAGAACTAATCAAGTCTGCACACTGAAAAAATTGTTAATGCCACTTTTCTTTACAGGTACAGAATGCATAATTTCACTTTTCAATCTACTGTTCAAATACAGAAAGGAGTGGAAGCTGGAACAGGGAATGGTCAATTAGGATAAAATCTCTCTAGTCACTGGAAGCTATTCTTACTCCACAACAGGAATACAACTAACATGGTGAGGGCATGAAAAAGGGCACTGAATCTTGTAAGCAGTAGGAAACATTCAGATATTTCCCTTCAAAGTTTTTATGTACAAAGATATGTATCTTGCAAGTTTGCATATGAGCACGGTTAAGGTAACATAGCTACAAGAAAAATGGCTTGATGAAACAGGTGCATGCATTTTATATAGAGAGAGATACAGATATTTATTATTATATATGATGAATTTTAGATGGACTTTCACAAAATGGGCACCATCATATCTAATTTTTTCAAGTTTATTTCTCAAAGGCCTGTAAATATACAATAATTCATTGCATCTGCCAGAATCTACATACTTCTGCAGAGAAAGCATGATGGAGGAACACAGGGAACACCACTGTACTACACTTCTCAATGAGAAAAAAACTGAGGAAGTAGGACAATGTTAGCATGAGGTTAAGCTAGTAAAAACAACTGGGTTTTGCATATTCTTTACACATATCAGACAAGAAAGGATTCTTTTGGAAAAATTCTCTTATGTATTGTAACAGTTAACCAGACTGCCTTGAGGGTTTTTGGTCCACATCTATAGGCTTTTTTTAAAACCGATTTTGGAAGTAGGAGCTGGCGATAAAAGTTTTATTCAAATATTACACATTTTTTTTCCTTCTTTATCAATACGCAAAGATTTGCAGCAGTTTGCAGTTTTGCACACATACAGCTAGGCTAAACTTGTTTTCCAAATTGAGTCTTTCACTCATTGAATTCCCAAAATGGGTAAACTCAGTTTGTAAAGCAAAAGGACTTGAAATACTGAAATTTAGTTTTATATTCCTTGTTTGAATTTCCCACAAACACCTTTCAATATTAAAGAAAAAATTACAGACTTCTTAATAAAGCAAAATGACTGGCCACTGATGTGCTATGATTGAAGGAAAAGAAACATCTAGTCTTAGATACCTGCCGATCAAGGTCAACGTAAGCATCATTCCCAACAGAGACCGGAGACTCTTTACTCATCAACTGCAATTAGATTACATTGGATTAGAAAAAGCAAGTATTTACTCATATTAAAAGCTAACCTTCAATGAAATACTTCAATAATACAATACTTCAATAATACTTCAATAATACAATTTTTAACTTTTGGGAGATTCTACATGACTTCATTCAGAAGTTTAAACTTCATTTATATATATATGACATTCACAAAAGAAAGACATTTTCAGAATTTATGATGTTTAAAGAACTATAAAAGAAAACTTACACCGTCCCTTTTTCTTCTGAAAACACACATTCATTATTTATGATGAAACTGACAGTACATTCTGCTATGCATTTTGCTGAAGTGGCATTGCAATGATGGTAGCTATCAACACACCATGCAACACCTCCCTGTAAGTGTTCTCTGCCAGTGGTTTTTGTTTGTTAATGACCTGGAAGTTCACATCAATTTATTTATTTATTTAACTAAAGCTGGGGAGCTATTCATCTCAGATAATTATGCAAAACAAAGATCGTCAAAATTCCTGCTCTGGAGTGGTCTGTAATTTGCAAATTTAAAAAGAAAGTCTATAAATAGTACTCCTGAATACAATTCCTTGCATATTAGCCTATTTTATTGCAGGAATGACTGGTAGCAGTTTTAGTCCATCAAACATTACTTTTAGCCATGACATTTTAAAAAAGGGAAAAAAAAGGGCAAGCCAGCCCTATAAATTGACTGATGTTCTTACTGAAAGATAAAAGGCTGATAACAAACTATGTTTTCTTTCAGTAACCCCCTGATGAGCTACACAGCTAGTTAAAAGTTAAATCAAATGTAACAGAATTTGTAGTCCAAAATCCTCCTCCCACCCACCTCCAGCAAACATATTAAGGTAAAGTTATTACTGAAAGTTGTAAAATACAAAAAGAAACAGTCTTCCAAATTAGAAATCTATTGTAACTAACTGAAAAGGCTGCGTTACAGAACCAGTGATGGTTTCTGTTACCTTGCCCAAACACAAAATGTTTTATGAATTCTCCAATGACAAGATCCATGGAAGTTGGGGAGGTCGGACTAGATGACCCTTGGAGGTCCCTTCCGGCCTGGGAAATTCTATGATTCTATGATTCTAAGTTACAATCAAAAAGACCCTATTCTAACCAAAATCAGGACAAGATTTATTTCCTCAGACCTCCTGTCCAGCCTGCTTACTCTCTCCAGATACAGGGCTTCCTTTATTGCTTTCAAAAATCAGTGCTTTTGCATTACTTTTCACTGGCAAAGTTTCTCAGATACACAGCACAGAGCTTTCATTTCTTCTCCATCCTTGCTGTTTATACCACTGCGTACAAAAGAATATCTCTTTTTGACATTCACATCATTCAAATACATATAGATTTAGCCTCCTTCCTTTTACCCATCTCCTTAACTGGGAAGTAACCATTTACAACATGCATAAATTCACCTATTTGTCCTCAACACTACTCCCAGACTTCGACAATGTTTGTTGCTACCTGCTGAATTGCTTCCATTTTGTAGAACTTTAAAATGACAAGCTACTCTGAAATGAAGCATTCCATGAAGCTCAGATTCTCTGTAATAGTAATTAGAAAGTCCCTAGCCCCAGTGCTTTCCCCTGAAAAATGAAGTCACTTGTCTTTTTCCTTACCATACATAGCATTACAAACTTGTATTTAATTTAGGGCCACGTTTTCTAAGCTGATTATCATTTGGCCATTCAAAAAAAGAATTTCCAATCCCTCTCTGCTCTGTGATGTTTATACATACTTCAGTTACTCTATTTCCCTATCTGCTATTTAAATGTGTTTCCAGAACTCTTCACCTATTCTATATCCCACAACGCTGTTTACAAACACATTTTTTCCACCCGTTCCACCAGTACTTTCCAACAGGCAGGTCCTAGGCTGCATGCAGCCTACAAAGGTGTACAACAATATGTCCCTGATGGCCACCACCCCTTTCTGTCCCAAGCACAGCTTCCTCTTCAGAAGCCCAGTTCAAGATTTATTGTAGGAGGAATACAAGAGGCTGCACAACCCACTAGAGGCCACTGTGGTATTGCTGCTTTCTATGGATTACAGGAAAGGAATCAGGCTGAGGCCAATAATCTCTTTCTTCTTCAGTGGGTTTTGCCATCTCTCCCAAAACTTCCTACTCTTGAAAAACCTTAGGAGAAATATCCAGAAAAGAGGACACTAGCTGGGAAAGAATTTGGCAGTGGAGATACAGAGTGTCTATGTAGGGTGAATTTTACACAGAATTTGTGAATTAAACTCCACAGAGTGCATCAAGAATGTCATGTGGATGCACTCCACAGTGCATCAGGGAACTATGCATGAGGCACTGGGGGCAAGAGCCACAGACACATATGCAGATGACTGACCCAATGCAACAAAAAGCATTTTTCAACCTTATGGCCTGTGATACGGTGAAGATGCTAAAGTAAAAATCTAAGGGATTGTGCTGCATCCAGTAGTACAACCAGACAAGCAACAGGAATGAGATTGTCAGATTATTCACATATATTGCATATTTAGAGTGAAGACTAGAAATAGCACAAGCATTTGGTCAAGTAATCAAAACATCATTTAAAATCAAAAGAGCTTATTTTGTGGTGAAGAGGTCAGTCTGGATTTTAAATGGTACAATAACCTGGACAACATGGCAATTTTTATAATCCTTTGCCTAGTTTTATAAGAAGGAGTTGTCATTCCCTGTTAATCCTTTACATCTATACATTTTCATACTCATAGCTTTGGTATGATGTCTTCAAAATACTTGTAGATCTGCTAATTTTATATTATTAAAACCTTCACTTTTTAACTGCTTTGCTTGTGAAATGTGAACAAGTTGTGTTGACATGGATACGTAAAGATTAGGGAAGGGGTAAAACTATCACAAAATCTGCATGCATGAATAACCTGAATTATGAATGCTTTTTTTTCCCCTACACATGATTTGCATAATTTTGCAAATGCAGCTGCACCATTTAGTTGATGATGTTAAAAGCTCAAAACATTTGCTCTATCTTAAGTGCTTCCTCTGAAGTTGCTAATATTGTACAAGCTCATTTAAGTGCCCATGACACCATGACAAAATCCAGCTTCTGTATTCAGAAGGTTGTTCTTCCTTTTTTAAAAACATCTCTTTGTTTGTTTGCTTTTTAAGAATCAAGGCTATGTATTACACAGTCCTTTAATGCAGCTGGACCTTCTTCTTCCTCCAGACCCAAGGAAATTTTTTTCTGTCATTTCCTAGCTATTCAAGAGCCCGTTTTACTTCAGAGAAGATGAATCTCCAAACAGTCAGGAAAAAATACAAAGGGAGAAAAAAATGACAAAACCAAACAACTTCTGCTTCATGGAAGTAACACAGTTGGTATTAATCCAGACAGGAAGTACCTTCTGCTATGCACCCCACGCAAGTTTTAACATTACCTTTAGTACTTTGGTGTTAAGAGCCTACTCTGACTCTCAGATTGACCTGCACTGACACATGCTAAGTGATCAAGTTTAGAGATGTTCTGAACAGCAAAGGGAAACAATTTCCTCAGCTACGACTCATCAATAATGAACTTGGCTGCTCAAAGAAAAGACTTGGAAAATGACACCAGAATTTTCAAAGGAAGTCAAGGAAATGAAAGGAAATACATAATGGCCAAAACAATTTCTGTAAGGAAAGACTTTTGGCCTTTAAAAAAAAAATCTGCAAGTTATGTAATTAAAATTGTACTTGAAATTGTACTTGAAATTGTAATTGAAAGTAATAATAAGCTATAATGATATAAACAGAATATAGGAGTTTGAATTACAAAATGCACAATACATAATTTATATTATTTATACATGCCATATTTTTTGCAATATTTTTGACAGCTATATCATTCTTGCTCTTCTTCTATCTTGTGCACAGCTTGCATTTAGTAATGCACATCTGCAGATTAGAATCTAAAAATCTATGTGGTGGCAACACAGCAGATAAATTTGACCACACTGAAACAATAACAGAAAAGTATTGTTCAATTTATAAAACCTTTATGGAGCAAGAAGCGTATTTTATTATTACTATTTTATTTTAAACATTTAAATAAGTGAAGAAAGGAAATGCTGAGGAGTCACAAGTTACTAAAAAAACCTGAAGTAATAAAATAAAATTTAAAACATAAAATGCTAATTCCATTTAAAAATCAGCTTCTTCAAGCAAAAAAGAGAAAACAGGGCAGAGGCTTGTTCTACTGTGCCACGTGGAATATTTTCATGAGTAAGATGTTTTATGAAAACCAAAGTAGTATCAAAAAACACTTATATGTGCTTTGCTGAAACAGAAAAATGGATTACTTAATACATCAGCAAAGCTTAGAGAGGTGTTTTTACGTACCTAATTTTGAAGACAGAGTACCTGGCATGTCAAATACTTTGAAATGTTTGGATTAGGTGACACACCAACTTTTCAAATATGAACATATAGGTATTTTTCGAGATGCTTTATTTTGATGTCTTGCACGTTTTGCTTAGTCCAAGTGTCTTGAATTCTGAGAGCTGCTCTGAGTTCGAGAAATAGAAAAAACCTCCTTAAATCCAGTGAAGTTTCACTAGACACAGACTGCAGGTGCAGATCTGAAACGATCTTAAAATCATTGGATATCTCAAGTTGGAAGGGACCTATAAAGATCATTGAGTCCAACTCGCTGCTCCTCAGAGGCCTACCTAAAACTAAACTATATGACTAAGAGCATCATCCACATGCTCCTTGAACTTGAAAGGCTTCTTACTGTGACCACCCCACTGTTCCAGTGACTGACCACGCTCTCAGTGAAGAACCTTTTATTAATGTCCAATCTGAATTCCCCCTACATCAGTTTAACACCATTTGCATGCGTCCTGTCACTGGTCACCAGAGAGGGATCAGCACTTCCTCCTCTACTGCCTGCCTTGAGGAAGTTGAAGACTGTGATAAGGGCACTCCTCAGCCTTCTCTTCGCCAAGCCGAACAAACGAAGTGACCTCAGCCACTCCTTCTAAGTGTTGTCCTCATGATGCTTCACCATCTTGGTCAGTCTCCTCCAGATACACTCTAATAAGCTGGTGTCCTTCTTACATAGAGTTGCCCAAAACTGTACACAGTACTCAAGGTGGGGCTGCATGAGTGCAGTATAGAGTGGGACAATCACCTGGCTCAACCAGCTAGCTGTGCTATGCTTGATGCACTCCAGGACACAGTTTGCTCTTTTGGCTGCCAGGGCACACTGTTGACACACTCTAATAAGCTGGTGTCCTTCTTACATAGAGTTGCCCAAAACTGTACACAGTACTCAAGGTGGGGCTGCATGAGTGCAGTATAGAGTGGGACAATCACCTGGCTCAACCAGCTAGCTGTGCTATGCTTGATGCACTCCAGGACACAGTTTGCTCTTTTGGCTGCCAGGGCACACTGTTGACCCATATTCAACTTACCGTCAAGCCAACCCCCTAAATCTCTTACCGCTGGGCTGCTCTTCGGCCTGTTGTCCCCCAGTTTGCACATATAACCAGGATTACCTTGTGGAGATTCAGGTGGAGAATCCAGTACTTGCTCTTCTTATCTTTTAAATGGTTGGTGACTGCCCAGGTCTTTAGTCTGTCCAGATCTCCCTCTAAAGGCCACTCTAGCCTCAAGGGAGTCCACAGCTTCTCCTAGTTTAGTATCATCAGCAAACTTCCTTAATGTACATTTGATTCTTGTGTCCCAATAATTAATAAAAACTTTGAAGAGCACTGGCCCTCACATTGACCACAGGGGAATCCCACTGGTAACTGGCTGCCAGCCTGATATAAGCCCATTTACTATAACTCTTGGGCCTGACCCATAAATAAATTGCTTACTCAGAATATTATAGTCTTATCTAAATATATGCTGGATTTTTTGTCCAGAAGGATACTATGAGAGACAGTATATATGCTTTGCTAAAACTAAAAAAAACCCAAAAAAACCAAACCAAACAAAAAAAAAACCCAAAAAAAACCCCAAACAACAACAACAAAAAAAAACCAAACAAAAAAACCAAATCACACACATCTACTGGTTTCCGTTGGTCAACGACATGGGTGACCTTGTCATTAAAAGAAATTAAGTTGGTTAAGGAGGATTTTCCCCTTGTTAACCTGTGCTGGCTATGACAAATGACTGCACTGTGTCTCGAGTGTTTTTCAGTAACTTCCAGAATAACATTATTTATTACACAATAATTTTGCCAGGCACTTAAGTGAGACAGGTCTGTAATTACCAGAGTCTTCCTTCTTTCCCTTCTTGAAAACTAGGAGAACCCTTGTTAGCTTCCAGCTGACGGGGACCTCTCCAGACTTCCAAGACTCTTAAAAAATAATGGAGGGAGGTCCTGCTCTCAACTTTTTGTTAAGCACCTGAGATCCTCCTCGTGATTCTGAATGCCTTGGATTTCTAAGCAGCTTGGAAGGCAACATTAAAGCCGCTCAGAACTGCATCAGTACCTGAATAGTAAGCTTTTTGATTCACTGAGTTTCAAAAACCTGTTCCAGAAGAACGGAACGTTATCCTGTGATTTCTCCCCACTTCTACTCCTCATCCCTGAGAAGAGGCACAAACACTAGACAAGTTCAATGCCTGCTTATTAAATCCCCAAAACTGTGGGCTGCCTCAGATCTGGCTATTTTATCAAATGAAGGAGATTTTTACCAAAATCACACAGGAGATTTTCAACAGAAGAAGGGAGGATAGTAGAAGGTTTACTATTTTAAGATAATGCAGAATAAAGTGATGCTCAAAGTTGGTGTTAATAAAAGAGGATATTAGAAAAATCCACCAAAACATTGTATTACAGTTAAAAAGAATGCAAAAGTAAAATATTCAAAAACTCAGGCAAACTGATACTTGGCAGCACTAACTGGAAGATGATTTAGCATAAGGATTCTTTCAATGCTCATTTCGAAAGTCTTCTCTGCAATATTAGCGATAGCATTCTACACACAGACAACAGGATGTCTGAAAACATAGAGACAGCATTGGTCAAAGTGGTAATAGGGGACAGGGTTCCTGTAGGCTCACTGACATGTCTTTCTCTATTCACACATTATAGAAAAGCGTAATTGCTCTAGAGCTCAATATGGAATTTAGTTTCTCTTGTTCAGTTCAGAAGACATGGGATTACCATCAGTTTCCTGCTTTCATTAGCAGCTTGCCCTGTAGTAAAGCTCCATCTATAAAGACTGATAGGCACTTCACTTGGAGGCACTCTAGGCTCCTAAGAAGCCACATGGGGGTTTCATGGCTATAGCAGTCACTAAAATTGTAGTTTAATTTTCACTGTGGTTTTAATTTACTACTGAACAGCACTTTTACAAAATACACTCCAGTATACTTAATAACTTGTAAATACGTATTAGCACAAATGCCTATTCGTAATACTACAGCTGATAAAATAATACTCAGTTATCCATTTCTCTTTCTATTCACTTGTCCAGTAAAAACAAACAAACAAACAAACAAACAAACAAACAAAACCCCAACCAACCAACCAAAAACAAAAAAACCCCAAACAACAGTTCACGGATTTTTGCAATTTCAAGGTATTCAAGGTACAAATTTTGAAGAAATTCTATGGTATTTGGTTGTTCACATAAAAGCAGTCTAGTGCACTTGAGGAGCTACAGGGTGGGAAAGGTAAAGGACAGGGAACCCAGTATCAAAAATATCCAGAAGTTTCAATCTTCTAGATTTAAAGAAAAGTGGGACGTTCAACCAGAATTCCTTGACATAAAGCTAACTTTACTGATTTGTTTTCCTAAAGAAAAATAAAATATTTTTCAATGTAAAATGGCAAAAGCTATGCCTCTTATTTTCTTTACTTCCAACTAAGTTTTTCTAAAGTGGGAAAATGCATACTTATGTAAGATACTGAAAAGCTGAACTTTTACACATTGTGGGCATCCCAGCATACCTCCTGAATGGCTGTCATGACGACATGTTGAACCGATTCTTCCATCATCATTATGGTCTGGATGTACTCTGAAAATAAGAGCATTCTGAAATGTTACTGTTGAAACTAAAGCCACACAGAACATGAGGTCAGAAGCTCCATCCTTCCTACAAAATGACTAGGTGCCACAGATGACATAAATGCACAATCACCAGTCAGGTCCCACCCCAACAAACTCATCAAGACTTTACCAGACTTTACATAAATACAGGCTCATTGAAACTCTGTAACAATGAAAAAAGTACCAGACTGTAACTAATTTTTTTCATCTGGCATCTCACACTTCTGAAATAACTACTTAAACTCCTTCTCTCACCTTGCTCCCAAACTATTCAGGCTATACAAATACACGATCCATGCATAGGTTGTCCTTTTCCATAAGTTTATGTCCTGCTCCCTACAGCGTCCTCATTTCAAGGCATTTTCATATCCATTCTTAGTTTCTGTTCTTATTTCTGTGCTATATCACAAATAGGTCCCCTCTACTTTTTCATTCTTCACCTATATGCAGGTGATAAATGTGAGTAACTTGTAAGATGATACAGTAGTTAGAAGGACAAATTCTGACATTTAGAGCAAGTCAGGGAGTTTATGATTTGCCCAGTATCATACGATTTCCAGGCAGGTACAGTCACTTTTACATGCGACCTGCATTCTTTCAATGATTTGCCCAAGAGAAAGATGCTGAGAATCACTCACCTCAAAGTGATTAATTAGGTCATGCTAAGTATCACTTAAAATACATAAAACTAGACTGTTCCAATATTTCAAACGTATCTTTTTAGTGTCTGCATTGAAAGAGTAAAAGAAACATAGGAATAAGATACACTCCTCGAGGATGACAAATAGTCACTGAAAGGAAGATAATTTTACATGAAACAGAGAGGATAGGAGGCCTAATAAAACAGTTATTTAGGTACTCATGGAAAAAAATTACCTCTATGTTAATTAATACAGTAGCCAGACTGTCTCCTGGTTAAGGGAAGAATAAAAGTAATTTCAGAAGGAGAAATTAAAGTGATTTAGACACCTGAGAAAACTGAAAAAGTGAAACTAGCTATTAAAGCTAAGACGCACCATGTAAGAGGAAGAGAGACAAAAGGTCTGAAACACTGCTGACATTTTGTCAGAAAGGAAACAAAAAAGAACTAAATCAGGAAGAGACAGATATATGACGTGATTTTAACATAAATACAATAAACAGTCTTATTTACCCAGAGGTGTATTTTATAAAAATGTTCCTATGCTTCCTGTTTTGAGTCCTAAGAATAAATGTTTGTAGTTGCTTTGTTACCTTAACTTGGCTTAAAATAAGTGCAAATTAAGGTGATTAGGTAACAATAAGACACCCTGCACCCAAGCCAAGTTTAGAGCATGAGATTTGGGACACTTCAACAAGCATCTCCATTGTTCATCACATCCTTGATGGCATCTGCAGGAAAAATGAATGTGTCCCTATCTTACCTGTGCAGATCAGATACACAGTTGGCCCTCTAGGAGTCAAGAGAGCCAGCAGCCTCCTTCAGTGACTGCAAAAGTTGGATTCACTTGGGGCCTAACAGATGCCCCAAGTGAAATTCTGGATGCCCTCAAGGTATCATGCTTGATCTTCAGTTGCTGCCCAGAAGGGCATGGTTGTCAACCCCAATCAGAAGTCCCAGAAACTGCAGTATTCCAAATTACATCAGACATATCTTCAGATCTTCCCCCTGTCATACTGATGGCTCTTGGCCATGTATTAAGATGCTGACTGGAATGCATTCCTAAAACCTAACCTCAAAGAATAGTGCAACAATGACATTTTTTTATTCTTAACTATCCAAATATAGCTCATAAATGGTTAAAGGGTGGGCCCAAGAATTTTTCTCTCTAGAGTGCCTTCTCAGCTCAGCAAACAAAAATTGAAAATATGTATGTTGGAAGCAAAATCATCTCAACAGTTAGAGACTCCAAAACTAGCAAAGCTTGTAACAAAACAATAGTTATTATGACAAAGTAATATCATCACCAAAAAAAGAAAATACATTTGTCTCTGACAGCAACCTGTGAAATATAATTTTTCCCTTCAGTCGTTATACAAGAAGCTGAATTTTCATTCACTGCCTGGGAGAAAATATGCTTTCAAAATTTAATACCTTGCTTCTGTTCACAGTTCACAGCGCACCCCAGAATAAGCTGAAGCATTCTCCCAAGCTCTGCAGCATCCGCATGCTCTCCAATCAGGTTAACATCAGGAAGGGTGAAGTCATTAATCTGCTGCCCAAGAATCTGCATAGAGACCCAGTACATACATATCTGTATCACTACAAACACTTCAAAATACAAAGGTGACTCAGAATCAACATGAGAAATTCACCCATACTTTAACATAGCTGTCAATCCACCTTTAAAACAAACCAAATTGCCTAACACCTAACATCCAACTATGAAAACATAATGCTTGACAGAACTAATACTTGGGAGAAGACAAATCTGACTGTCTCAACTAATAGGAAACTATTAGTTTCAAACTTAGCAAGATTTTTTCTTCAAATAAGAAAGGTGAACAAAGGCAGGCTTCCATGGTGATCAACAATATATGGATAATGAAATTTTTCTAAAGCATTCCTTAAAAAAATCTAACACCTAAAAACACTTTATGTAGCATAAAATATTACACACAGATCTACCATTTCTTATTACTAGAAATTGAAATATTTCATGTATATATGTGTCTAGCACTGATGGATGACAAATACAAGATAGTAAAACAACTCCATCACTCAGCCTCACACTTTTAGAAAATTTAAGGATATTTAGCAAGTCTCAGAGATAAGAAAGCTAGTTCCATGGAAGAGAATTTGAGGTAGTAGTACAATACCTAATTAAACAGCCCACGTGCAGAAAGAAAACAGAAAAAAAAAACCCACAGCAAAAACCCCATGTGACTTACAATTAATGTAATCTGATTTATAATTAAAAAGGATTTACATCAATGATTGTCAGTAGAAGGAATTAAACAATTCTGCTAAATTGTTCATAAAGAGCTTTCAGGGGGTTGAAAATATGAATATGAAATATGGAATTAAACACATCTCTGACACATTAATTGCAGATAAAAAGAAACTGTCAGTTCTTAAGCAGCGTGCAATAAAGAAACAATGACTATTGAAGGAATCAGTCAGTTGTTTGCTGGATGCCTTTTTTTGTGTTAATACTCAAGAAAAACAGAAAATCAGGTAAAGGTATTTATAAAAAACCATTTAACAGATGTGTATGAAGAATACATGGAAATCAAGCCATTCAAAAGTTTTGCAGGGTTGGGCTTTGTGGAATTGTTGTGGTTGAGTTTGTTCTTCTTTTATATGGCGGTGTTTGTATTGTGGCATATTTTTTTTTAAACAGCTCTCTCAAGGAACTAGCACCAAAACTACTGAAAATCTCTGTGTACTTTAAAGGACTCAGATTCACTCCTATTGGAAAAGAATTCCTTTAGGTCATTCCTGAGAGAAAATAAGAATACTGTGAATGCATTAAGCATAATGGGAAATATTGTAATTGTGTATAGACTGTGATAATACAGTAAGGCACAATTTTCTTTGAATTACACAAATCCGATATGTGTCTCTATATTCATCTGTAGTACCTGAATTTCTTTCAAATGCAATGCTGGATTTAAGTTCATAGTTACTCATAATATAGTTGCTGTTGAAGAAAGCTAAATGGAAAATGCACTATGAAGAAGCCAAAGATGCAAGGTGTAAACAGAGGATTTTGAAATACATGAGACACAATTTTAATTCAATGACAACAAAAAACCCAAAAGAAATATGAAAATGAAGGACAGACTCTGCAAAAAATATCTTGAAATGAAAAAGTCTTTTCCCCCTTTTTAAAAAGATAAATATAAAAGACCTTTGCAAAAATTTTGAAGTTTCAGTTCCAGAGCAGCAGAGTTCTGCAGCAAGATCATTAGGCATAATAAATCATGCAAGCTATAAACAGGTAACTTGGGCTTCTTGTTCTCCCATACTATAACTGACAGAGACAGCAACGTAAGATAGCTATTGAAAGACTGTTCTCCTCAATGTGATACAATTTTTTTTAATTTTTGAAGATGAAAAAACTTAGCATATATACTTTTCAAAGGCTTTTAGCTACGTCAGGTAAAATCCATGTACATTCACATCTCTATTTTTGTAGAAGATGACCCCTAAAATAGGGAATTGGGTTGAGGCAAACATAACCAGGTTTCAATCCAGATCAGCTCCTTTATCATCACAAGCATTGCCTCAGCAGAAAAAAAAAAAAAGAAACCAACCCAAAATCCAGTCAAACTTATAAATGTACATTACCTTTGCAAAACTTAATCAGCTTAAAACAGCTCAAAACCTGCTTAGTAGTAAAATTTTCACACCAGAATCTGAATCATCATACATACCAACTAGCCAAAAAAAAAAAAACTGGCATCACTTTGTCATAGTGATACTGATTTTCTATAACAAAAAAATTTGTTTCTAGAATTGTCAGTTATGACCAGCTTGCTTAGCCATCAATTTTCAAAATTTATTTCAACATGTATACCTGATCATTTACTGAACATGAGCTTATGAGTCTAATTCTTTCTTTCTGAAAATCTGTTTATTTTTTAAGACTTAAGTTTATTAACAAGTATCTTCCTCTCTGAAGTATTTATATACCTTCCACTCCAAGCAGCTAAAAATGCTCTTTACACTCTCTCCTCGAACAAAAAAAAGGAAAGAGGCAGTCTTCAGTTGGAGCAGATGAGGGAAAAAAAAATTAAAAAAAAAAAAAAAAAAATCAAACACAGGTACTCTTAAAGTCCATCACAAGGACATAATCATGATCATAAATCAGCAAAGACATCCTGTTTGTATGACAGAACTTTCACATTAGACTCCTCTGGAAGCTCTAAGTATTTAATAAAGTAGGTGAAAAGATTTAGAGAAGGCCAACACCTGGTAATAGGCGACAAAACACTTTGTATACCGAATACTTTGCAATAAAATTCCAGAACTTAACCAGTAGAATATAATCTACATTAAACAGGATAACTAAAATATGCAACAAAAAAGAAATGTAGATGTAGATTACTTAAAACAGTTCTTACCTCATGGTTGTAATCCAATATGCCTTTTAAAATTTTCTTCAGGTTGCTTACCTATTTGACAAGAAGAAGGAGATAGCATAAACGCAGGGAATAAATTAGAGAAATTACTAGAAAGTAGGCAATCACAGAAGAATTACACATAAGAATCATAGAATTATACTTATTAGCACAAAGACTTTCTGTTTGAGCAGTTAAATTTAGAATCACTATAATGGAGAGTGAAAACTCTAAAATCTCAACTGTCTTTAAAGCCCACAATAACTTTTATATTCTTTATTACATTCCAAAAATACCTAGGTACAAGATTCTGTCCACTGACAAAAGTCATCTATCTTCCAAAAGATCTGAAGAAACACTACAGAAAACAGTTAGGAAACATAATACTGAAATCCAGGGACAAACTCAGAACTTCAACACAGTCAACAGACAAAATGAGGTGACAAAAGCAAAATCCAGTCTCATTTCTAAGGAAAACCCAAGAAAGCAACAGGCCACACACTAAAAGATTTATCTGTGAAATGCAAAGTGATAATGATCTGATTATCTTATTCCTATTAATCCAATCACTTTTGGAAACAAGTGTCAAAAGCTGACCACTTATTAGTATATAGGTATATCCTGACTCTCTTCATAATCACTGAACTTTAAGTCATATAAGAAAGAAGAATTCACTTGGACTTGAAAAGTGACACAACAAATATTCTGAGAACCTAGAAAGAGAACCGGAGATGCTACATGATAGGAAGTATACAACAACATCTACTCTCCCTCTCATAACAGCATAATAATTAGTTTACTTTCAGGTTTACACCTCCTAATCCCAAGCACATAGTATTTTTGTAATATTACACATAACACATCATGTTTCTGTAAAAACCACCACTATCTTCTCATTGTCTGCCCAAAAGCAATCACTACCACCTCTCAAAGGCTATGCACAATCATAATCGAAGTCTGCGATAGATCAAAGAATTTAAAGAAATGGAAATAATTTTATTTTGATATCAAATCACTGCAAAACACACTGCACTGATTGGAATATAATTTTCAAACTTGATTCATTAAAATCTTCCAATTTGTAATTTACCTGAGTCTGCTGCAGAAAGTGCCACAGAAGCGCAAAGGCCATGTTGCAGAATTTAAGTCCAGTTTACCGATGAGAACATTGTGAGAAACCTTGAACTTGAACATAATCCCAGAAAATGAGAAACAAAATGGAAAGTACCCGCCCACAAAATACTTATTTTCCCCTTTCCTTGTAAGCATTGTTTGAGTTAAAGGCCCTTAAACACAAAAAGTCATATTCCTTCATATAACTTTCATAGAGCTTAGAGTTGAGATGCTGGAACAAAATCAATACTGATCAAAATCTATTATCAAGACTAACATATAGGGCAGCATCTTCGGAAAAAGAAAACAGCAAGCAAACTAAAAAAAAAAATAATCTTGTCTTTGAGGTCCTATTTTATTCCCCTGAAAATCTGCAATGCTAGGACAACTTGTTTTCAAGAGTTAACTGTACCATCTTTGCATCTGGCACAGAATCAGACAGTTATATGGCCAAAGCAGCTTTTTTATAGACTGGCTTAAACTTAACAATGATCTTTAGTACTACTTGGAGGGCTCTTGATTTTATTGTTTTTGGAACTTACCAGGAATGAATACACTTAGATGATTCTACTGACACTGGCAAAGAATCATCATGGGGAAACTACCACAAGTGTTTTCTATTTTGAGATTCAACTTTGTAGCTCCAGTAACATTTGTCAGGTCATAGCATAAGTTCTCAAAAGAAAGACTTCTAACAGACATGAATAAAAATGAGCAACAGCTCAAGAAAGTGTTAAAGACAACCAGTTACATCACAATTCTAAATCACAGCAGGTGACAGCTGTTCAGACTTCTTTTTCTCTTTTTCTTACGCACATGGGGAAAACCTAACTGTAACTTGTTAACAAAGACTGTTAAATCATGCAATGACAGAACACAACAAATAGAATTTCAAATATCGATCATGACTACAGAGCACTGTATTATCCTTTGGAGCTCAGACCACAATCACATGGGATGCTTATTTGCTTGCATCAGCAACCTAATTTCCTCCTTTTCCATACAAAGCATGCACACTACCCTCCCAGTCCCTTTCACATCTATTCCCTGCACCCATACCTCTGTTGGAAAAAGGTATGAAACTTACTGAGAAAAAAAAAAAGAAAAGTTAAAATTATGCTTTATTCTACTTTAAAAGTTGTTGCATCTCATAAGAGGTGGATTATTATTTCTAGATAAACCTCTCTTCATTTTCAATCTCTTTTCCATCTGTCATTTCCTGTTTTATTTCCCCAAACTCCTATTACCAAGGAGAGGATATCCGCTTTGAAGTAACGCATCCACAAAAACAACCTGCATGTTATCATTCATTCCCTGAACACCTATATGTCATTAATATCCACAGCAGAGATGCGTGGATGTTCCTTATGTTAAATGATCATTATCTTCTCAGTTTACAGCCATCTTGCCAGTAGTGTAGTACGAAAGTAGTTAGTACACCCTGTTCAGTACGAGACTGATGCTTACATAGTATTAACCTGATAAACTGACTGCGATGAAAGCAGAGATGATGTGTCCTGGCTTATCATAGGCAACATGTGATCTGGCAACACTGTACAACTGCATGTTTGTGAGTTTTCTCTCCTGTGGTTTTTTTTCCCTCACCTGTCATATGAAATCTCTATTTTTATTTAATTACGATTTACTTACTGTTTCCAAACTAAGGGTCTGTAAGGGTAGTCCATCTAGATTTCTCTCTTTATGAATACACTTGAGCAACAAAAGGAAAGCCTGATGAAGTGGAGAGTAGAAATGCCCTTAAGCTTGTGATTGCTGACAAAAAGGGAGTATGTGTTATTTAACCTCTTGTTTCTCTCTAACATTATGATAGCCAGTCCCTAACTTCACATTTACCCTTATATCACATATATGGCTGAAATCCCGTCTGTTCTGAAGGCTCTGTGTAAATTGACTTATCCTTGTACATTTCAGGTCCTTAGGTGTTTGAATGGGAACCCCAATGTTCTGAAATGCTGTTCAACAGTATCTTTCCTGAGTAATTATGCACAGACTTATTTGCCTTCACACAGGTAATAATTAAGAATGTTATAACCTCCCTGGAAGTGTTGCTAGGGCACACTTGCAATTGATGACAGAATTCTTAATCAGTCAACTTCAGATATGTCATTAAGTTACATATTCTTCCTGGCTGCACTTAAAAGAAAAGCGGGGGAAGGGAGGGAAAGAAGGAGAGAGAAAGTGTGCATGAATTGCTCCCACCATATAGATTAGGTTTTTGCCAGAAACTCCATTCTGCAGGAGCCTGTCTCTCCACTGTGTATAAGTGGAGCCCACAGAGAGATGATACCACTAGCTTGGGGGGGTCATCCCCCTCCAATCTGTCTTCTGCAAAAAGAAATCTCAAAAAGAAAGATGCAGACGCTTCCTTGAATTAAATGAGAAGAAAAAAATAATTAAATGTGGCTCTGAACACAGAGAGCATTCCCACATTAAACTTATATTTGGAGACACTGTTGACTCGGAATTAAGGGTATATCTAAATAGAATTAAATGTATCAGTTGCTAATTATATTTTTGACAGAAATGAATGATGGCTTACAATATGCCTATAATCTCTGCTTCTTGCTTGCAGAAACATTCACATGACAGGCTTCCAGTCTTAACAGAAAAAAACCTCTAAAAGGCAGCTGATGAATAAGTGGTCCCTTCTCTTACAAAGGAACAAGAAAGTAGCAGAAAGATGATACTGTACACTGAAAACTAGCTTCCATTACTCCACCAGTCAACCCAGCTTGTACTGTAGAAGAATTCAGAGCAAACTTACCTGTATGACTGCAGGGAGTCAAAATTCATTTTCAAAAATCAGGTTTGTTTACTTAGATTATTGCACTAAGTAGTCTGTGCTCTAATTTCATTGGTTATTCCATTTTGCAATATTGTATCCAACACAACAATCAAACTGTACTAGTTGCAGAAAGCGTAATGGCTCCTATTGCCTTATTGTGCTATTCAGTAATGGAACAAACACAGCTTGCTACTATAAACATTGATAAAATCATGCTTTAAACTTATGCTGTAGTCCAAATGCCAAAGTGAAAAGCTCAGAAGAAAAAGTCAGAATTCAAGCTGAACAATGTATTTCCTTCCTTTCCCAAGCTAGGTACAACCACACTGAATGGAAAAGGCAGGGAGAGAAAAAAGGAAAAAAAAAAAAAAGTTTTATCCCATCCCATTCCATCCATCAGATAGTCGACAACTTATTCTGTAATGCCAAATTTTACATGTGTATACTAAATAAATAACTGATTAAATTTCTGTTCTGTTACTGGTATTCCCGTATGACTTGACACTGAATCACTCTTGTGGTTCTTGTGATTAGGAAATTTCATTTCTGGAGAATTTTGGTAACAGACTTCTTTTCCATATTATTTCCCAGTTCTATCTTCAAAATGCCGCCTTCTTCACTAGCGTGTACACTGTTTGAACTTTGACTATATTAAAGTGTTCAGTTGTACAGCAAGAAAGAGATATGTCTTTGCTTTTCTGTTTTGTTTTGTGGTTTGTTTCTTTTACCACAACATAAAATTGCACTTAGGGCAGCAGTGAGAAGAAGGGATTTTTGCAGCCCAAGGGAAAACATAAACTCTTAAATATACTGATGTATGCTATGCCCCAGAAATTTTAACCCCATAGAAATAACAACATATTTCTCTACTAAACACAGAAGACAAAGATCTAGTCAGCTGTAAAACACAGCATGCTTGCTCAATGCTTCCTACTTTGTAAGTCCCCTGAGTTCTAATGTTCCCCTTTTTCAATCCTGTGCATTGTTCAATCTCTCAAGTCAGACAGCCTGCCCTGGAACCAAGAATATAACAACATGTCTATGAATTTATGCATTTGTTGTAAATGAGTACATCAAGAGGAAAAATAGTTTTAATAAGACTGCATTCTTGCAGTTATTAGAAAGTGAACTGCTGAACAAAACAAATAGTGAAAGCTGACCCATATAACCTTGCTTATTGCCCATACAGGGCAGCATCCAATTAAAAGTTAGCAATTGCATGACTGAGTATCTCTTTCAACAGTGGTTAGGAGGGCTGTACCAAGCCTATGCTAACCTCTACCAGGGCCTCCTAATGACTGCTCCACAAAGTAGAACTACCTGCACGTTATATTTTGGTTTGTTTCTTTAACGTATGTCCCCTACTATGGGAGACATAAAGCCTGACTATAAACGACGGATTGACAGATAGACATTTGAGCAACTAGATTACTAATAGTGTTTACTTGCATATAAAGAAGAAGAAAGTTGGCAAAGTATAGGATTGCTTTCCTGGTTAAAAAATAAGAGTTCAAATAACACATTTGTGCCTTTTAGTATTCTTTATGAAAAGGGTGGTATATAAAACATGAAAAGTTGTATATAAAAAATGTATACAAAGTCCTGGAGTATACATCTCTCAAACAAAAATGTAATCAGCCTTTAGTTCTTATTTACATGGATATATGAAAAACAAGAAGGAATGACATCAATAAGAAATTGAAATTTGACCTAATGTTTTTCCAACCTCAATCACATAAGGAAGTTACTAGATTGCTCAGCCTTTTTTTTTTTTATTCATACCTGCTAAGCCTTAGTACCTGCCTAATTTGTGGGAGACATGAAAAAAAGATTATTCTTCAAGCTCCACATAAATTACAGAAGCTGCTGCTCCACTTTCAGTCAGCTGAAATGCTATTATAACACACACTTCTCAGTTTGTTCTTTTCCAAATTTAATAGGCAAGATTTCAATATTCCTTAGAAAAAAGCCACAGAAATATTTCAGAGAAAAATAAAAACTTGTATCCAGCTGTTCACTTGTAATTTCATATGCTTCTTTGAAAACTTCATTTAAAGTAACTGCTTTAACAAGCAGCAGAACTAATAAAGCCTGTTTAGAGATCATGTCTTCTATTCACCAGCCAGTCAATATTTCCTCATCAATGTGCCCCCATTTTTGCTGGTAGCCCCAGCCGACAAATCTTCTAAAGCAGCTCAGACTTGCACGCAGCTGGCCAGGCAGCAGAGATCATGCTCACAGGTCTCCTGGCCAAATCAAAACATACACAGCAGCAGTATGCTCCACCCTTGTATCGGGAGGCACTTATATGTGCATCCCTCTATCCAGCCAGTGATGTTGGCAAGCCTGTAAGTACTACAGTGTTTCACAGTTGTAGCTCTTCCCCAGCTACTCAGAAGGGTTTTGTTTGCCAGAACAAAATGGTTTCGTCAGAAACATGAACTAACAGACTAACCATCGCTATTTTGTTTCCCCAAGCAGACAAGCAGGAAATGGCAATTTAGAAAAGTACATGTACCATTCTCTGAACAAAACTGGCCAGAAACGACACTAAAATCTGCATGTAAAACTATGTTCTTCAGGTTTTATAAACCAAAATGCTCCTCAGCCATAGCACTGTAAATTCTGTTGCTTTAAGGTTTTCAGAGAAAGTACTAGAATACCAAGTGATGCAAGTGACCCAGCAAATAGACTGTGGTTAAAAAACATGCTGAGTACAAACAACACAGAAAAAACACAACTTCCTCTCCTAACGCTCAGTAGTTGTGCAGAGCTGATGAAGTAAAAGGAAACAACTTTGCCATTTTTATTTGAATAAATTGCTTATTATTCTGCTATTTTTATGCAGCTGCTTCTCAGAGCTTTTCTTTAATGCTTCTTCCACACTTCACATTTAAAAAAAATCTTTCATTCAGCATATAAAAAACAAAGAGATAATTGATGCATAAAATTTATTTTAACATTTTCATTTTAGATTACTGAAAACTATTTACAAGCTCAAAATGTCTTTTCTTCATTAAACAGCGCAGGACTGTAACAACATAAAAAAACAAATAAGTGTAATAAAAATGGTCAAAAGTTCAAAATGCTGTACTATAAAGCAAGGTCTAAATCTAGAAATATGCCAATATTTAGATACAATATTGTATTAATAGCTGAAATACAGATTTGCAGACAAGTGAAGTAAGTCAAATACCTTTAGCCTCCAATTATCTCCAACTTCTGTTTTGATCCTGTTCAGCCAATTTTCATCAAAGTAAGCTGGATCTCTGAAACACAAAAACCATATTCATTAAAAACAGGTTACAGAAACTGTGTTGATACCTTAGTGGATAAGTCCCTACCTCAGGCTGGGGCCATTTAAATGACTACCTCTGTATCTGACACGTGGCCTGGATATAGTAGCTTAGAATCCTGTTACTACTCACTTCTCTAAGGCCTTGCACCCTGTTGACAGCACAGCTACATTTGTTTGCCATGAGTAGCTAACACTTTTGAGGAAGCTGCTGTACTTGGAGTGCATTTCGCCAGCTTTTCCCTCTCTAAGTTCTTCTTCCGGTTTATCAGCTGGTGCTGGAACACTATTTCCTTGCATTACCTGAAAGTGTTACAAAAATTATTACTTTTCCACATATTATAGATCCCTACTGTATACACTGCTTACAAATATTCATTTTTTAAATAGGAAGCTAGAGACTGGAAAATAGATATGTTGTCTTTATACAGTGAGAAGTGTTAAAAAGCATTGCTGAAGTTAAGTTTTTACTACTGAGAACACTCTTCACTATTATTTTATCTACCAAACACTATCAGTTTTTGCAAATCTCTTTTATGGTAACCCTAGAAAAATCTTTTCATGAACACTTTTCCTTAAAAGTTTTTCTATCTTCTGCACTTTAGATGAAGTAATCAAGATAAAGAACAGAAGAACACGTACTGCTTGTAGAATATACTCGTATTTCTATAAATTTCTTCCCTCTCTTCCTTTTTCTCACAAGCACCTTTTATAAGTTGCTTCTTCAAGACAACTCTCAAGACACTCTTGCCCCCAAGTTCAAAGATCATCAAAAAGGCTATAATTTTATACTGTTTACTTAAGTCAAATTTTCCTTCTATCATACAGAATTTTGATAATGCTGCAATCAGAACTAAAGAGATAGAATGCACTACAAATAACTGGTTTAAAATTACTGGTCAACGTAATATAAGGAACTCTCATATTTCATCCAACATATAACATCCAACATAAGTTTAAATAGTCAGGGGGAAAAAACCCACCTTTTTTTTTTTTGTACACATGCACTCTCTTAAGAGCCAATGTGGCCGGACAGTTAGAGTTTCACATAAAGTATTCTAATTTCCAGACTCACTTTTGCCACTGACTACTATTAGACTTACTGCTGTATCCTCTATAGATAGAAGGGTTCTGGACTAATCTCTTTTTTTAAGGGCAAGATGCCATGAGATCTTTTGGCAAAAGCCCAAGAAAACTATGAATGTGTCTGGAGATTCAAATGACATTTATATCATATATGCAGCAATTACATCAGTATTTATATCAGGGCAAAGACTTTGTAGCCGTATTTTATAAATGATGCACAGTATCTCCTGTAATCCATCTTCCCCATAATGTCTTCTTCATAGTGCATCAAGATTTGCAAGCAACCCATGATACAATACACAGCAATGGAGAGAGATCACAAACTGCAATGTTTCTCTACTAACACATTCTAGGTGCTATTTTTACACATTCTGTTACAGACTCTGGTGAAGATTACAGCATATTTCCTTTCCTCTGACATGGCACCCGCAAACATATAGCTGGAAGAACAGCTCTAATTACTAGTTATGTTGATGACTCCAAATTACTCCCATTCAAAAACAGTGCAGTTCGAGCACAGATGACAGTCTTAAAACTAAGAAACAGAAAAAGCAGTGTGTTATCTAGAGTTTCATCTTGTTTTGAAGCAGATGATCTCAAATAGCTTTCAAATGGCCTCTCTGCCCTCAGAAGTCAGGTAAACCTAAGAATGAAACTGATTTGAATACATATAAGATCTACTAGAGATAAAGAAGTGTCACATTCAGCTTTTACACAAAACAAATAGCTCTTCTTGCAAAAAGTTTTAAATTGCCTAGCTTCCACTTAAACACAACAAAATGGACAGTAATGAAAAAAAATGAGAGTTCAAGCCTCATCAGGCCCTGACTTGATTCCATTTGAGGTCTGGCATTCAAAAAGCACCTGAGGGGTCTTCTGGGAATCGCCAACAGCCAAGTGAGCCTTGCTTACAACAAGACACACAACTACAAAGTGTTAATGGAGCTGAATGAGAAAGCACATAAGCCTTATTACCTGTGCTTCACCAGCAAAAAAGACCAATGGGGCTTTCTTAAGGACTGTATCTTACAATTTTGAGGATTGCACGTTATCACTAACATCTCCAGCTGCTTCAAGGCTGCAGTGCCTTGAATATACGAATTCCTGACTTAACATCTTCATTGCAAATAATGACTCCAAGAAGCCACGTGGGTAAGTAAACAACTGTCTACAAGCAGAATTATATTTGGACTTACTGGATGGCTAATACTGCATACCTGATTTTCAATAATAAGGGCATCAGCTGAGGAAGAGTAACAAGATTCCAGGGTCAGCTCCAACCTGTTCCACTCTGGAAGCCTGTATTTCAATAGCAACTAAACAGCTTATCTCAGCTACCATTGCAACAAAAGTAACACATAGACCAGCAACTAGCCTTCACTGTCTTGATGGAAGTCTTGGGCTACTTACACCTTTATATATATGTCATCAGACATGTTTAAGTAAGGTCCCTGAGAATTAAATCTAAACTCAGTGTGGTAGTCCTCTCCTACAGATCCCATTAGTTTTTTCTCTTGAAGTGCACCAAACTCATGGAAGCATCCTAGGGTCCAGCAGCTGATAAGGAACTTACTCTAAAAAATCAACTCATAAGAGTGGTCAGAACAATTGTGGTCAGAACCAACAATTCTCTTTACAGTACTTCCATGCAGATTACACATTAATTAGCAGCATATTGTGAAAACACCTTGCCAGGAATACAATAAGTGGAAAAGCAATAGGTTGGGTATCAACCAAGCAAATCTATCATCTGTGATCATCCTTTCCTCATCTAAAAATCACCTCAGAACCATTCCTAGTATGCCATTATAATTTTATTTCTGTCCTCAAAAGTCCAATTAAGGTTCATCCCAACAGCAATACTTTATATCAAGCTAATGGAAACCAAATCTGAAATAAATAAAAAATTCCACCAGAATTTCCACAAATACTTTTTAAAAGGAGCTTCCAGCCATTAGGTCATTCACAGCCCTTGCTGCAAACAAGTCTCACTCTCCTGAATTGTCACGGTTTGGGCCAGACTGGCCACTGTGATGTATGACAGATGTCCTCAAGCCAGGATCTTTAGAACATGAATCTTTAGAAATCATGACTCAGTCATATTCAGAGTTCTTTAACTGCCTTAGTCCACATCGTTAAGAAAGATGCTGTTATTTCTTACAGTATTTGAAAAAGCATCACCTAAGCAAATATGAAAATGTGTGGTTGAGAATTGAGTGGCTATGATTACAAAACCTACCAGCTCATTTTGAAGAGGTGCTGCACTAAACAGGGGCAGCAGAAAACTGACAAGAGCTTCATTACCATGAGATGATTTGTTTGAACCAGGTATTTTGAATTCAGTAAATTCCTGAGCCTAGATCCAAACTTGGACAATCTCTTCCAGTGGATAACTTTCCAGATTTACAAAGTTATTTGCATATAAGTTGACTGCTGCCTAGTATCTGAATAGTAATGCAGATAGCTGGGACTATTCTTCAGAGCACAAGACACTTCGACTGTTAATGCCATATCACTTCATGTGATGTTGTTTTCAGCAGTGCTCATTTATACCATCTCCATCTTATTTTGTATGCAAATTTTCCTTTATTTAAGCGATCATCTCTCCACATCATAGGTGCCAAGAGACAGAAATATTCTTCTGAAGAAAACCAACCCACAGAGCATGTAGTAGAACTCATGACTATTACTCATTTTAACACTGGTACAGTAAGCTGCATTAAGAAATGTCTGTTTACAAAAAATTTCTCTCCCCCAGTGACATACAAAACCACGGCTTTTATGTTTTACATGTGTCAAAACACACACAGCATGCTGCAATGTATAATATAACAAATGAATAATTCATTAAGTAGGGCACAATGCACTGATGACAAGCTAAAATATATACCATCTCTTACATTTACCAAGGTCAGAATGACAGATAAAGAAAGAATTAAAACAAGAGGGACATCTGGTACTAAAGAGTCTCCAGAGTGGGATGAAAGGAAAATTTAAAACTGTAGTATAAAACAGGGAATTATGCCTGTTTTCCAGAGATACCTATAGATAGTGAAACCATGAGTAACATCAGTGAAGGCTACAAAAATTTTTTAAAAATGGAAAAAGAGATGATGCAATTCAGAAACAAGCTATGGCTCTTTTATCTGCTCTAATCTACATGATTTTATGCACACAGCCTACTCATAGACAGTTCAAATGTTTTCTTTTGCTTTCAATCTTTACTCCTGGAGTGCAGCACTGTGTAAAATAATCGTCAACACTGACTGTGTACAGGCATCTTATTGTACTATATTTCATACCAATTCTAGTCATAGAGACCAGTAACCTTCACATCTGAACACAAATGAATAGTGAATCTTACAGATTAATACAAAAACAGATAAGCTAAAGCATAGACTGAATTTCTTCCTCGGAGATAATATAGTCAGCACTGGAGAATTCCATTCAATGGTACTTGAACCTGAAATTCAAAGACAAAGGTGGTTTCATGATAAAAAGAAAGGAAGTGTCCTTTAAGGATTTACCAATACCAGTTTATTAACTATTGGTTACATAGTGCACATTTGTGCCATTTTATATCCCAAGCTACATTACTGAAAAGCTTCTGAAGGTGTCAGTAATTCCCTCTGTACCCTTTTCCTTCTCACAGCGTCTTCCAGCAGCTTTATTGTAGAAAATTTTGCTACACAAGTTGTTACTTCTAATGAATACCCCTTACTTACAAATGGGCTGCTACCTTGAATGCAAAAAAATATTGAGAATAATGCACAAAAAATTTAGCTGCTGGCCGGTTTTGAACACTTGACACAAGGCACAGTTGGGTTTTTTATCAGCTGATTAATACTCTTCCTTTTTTAATTTTTCCGACACCAAATCCTACAGTTGTGCTGTGCAAATTTTCTGTATATCTAAAGCAACTAATTCCCTGAACTAGGGATCTCTTTGAAACTGTTCCTCATCACGAACCACTGCCTTAATATCTTCTTGTTTCCACTACCTCCTGCCCTTTTAAGTACCAATGGACTCTTTCTATGAAGGTGGAGGTTAAAAAAATATAGAAAGAATAGACAATTCAGACTTTTAAACTTCAAAGTTTTCAAGATGAAATGCTATCCTTACTCTCCTGTAGAAATATTTCCAGATGACTGGATCACCCCAACTTCTTTAAATTTTCATCAACATTCTACCTCACTTAATCCGAGTTCTTCTCTATGTTCTGTTACTTAAAAAAAAAAAATGAAAGCAGCAATAACATTTTCCCTCAAAAGGTATTCCTCTTTTTCTGGTTCGAATTATTACCTAGGGAAGAGAAAAAGTAAATTGCTTAGCTGATTTTTACATTTAAACTAGGTAAGCTAAAGAATTCACTGTCAGCGTAGCAATGGCTATCGAAAATATTTAAAAATCATGTTACAGAAATGCAGTATTTATATTGTACATGTCTTTTTAAAAGATAAGTTCATCAGCTGAAAACAGTATCTCAGAATGGTTTTCCTTTCCTAATATCAAGGCAGTACTTCAAGTTACAGTAATACTAGGTTAAAATAGTAAATTTATTGGTCACTGAAGTTCCATTTTGATTTTTATCAAGGTATATTTGTTTTAGATCCAAATTCTGATTAGTCTTTGAACTAGTCAATCAAGAACTTATACATTTATCAACTCTTGTACCATCATTAAGTTAGTTGGAACCTTAAGTGGAATCATTTTCACTGGAGGGCAAGGGTGAGTGTGTTTGTGTCATCTTTTGCGCACTAGCAAAATATATTAATAGAGTAGAAAGACTGCTTCAATTACTCTGGAGCAAAAGGACTGCTGACATTACTTGAAATCAGTTCTGTTTGATGCAAAAATACACAAAGGTTGGATAATGCTGGCAAGTGATCCCTCATCATCCTCACAGAAGGAGAAATTAAGTGCAGAAAGAAACTTTGCAGCTTTTACATCTTTTTGAAGCTTCAGGTAGGAAAGAAAAACTGTACTCTACTTCAAGCTTTTAGGATTTTAGACTCCAGATCTTACCTTTCCGCATGCTAAAAAATGTTCCCTTGAAACATTTGACTACATCGAGATTTCCTCTTTTCCCCCTTTTTCTTGTGTGAACTGGCAGCTTTTTCTTTCATTAGGAGGACAGCCCTGCTCCACCTGAGGATTTACAACTACAGAACAGATTCAGTACCCTCATAGCAGTTACAGGGCTTGGGTTCTATCAAACAATTCATCTGTGTTCAGTAAACCTCAGCCAGGCAGCAGCAAAAGAGGGAAATGGCAAGTGCTAGCAAGGGATGGAGGGCCCTCACCTTCTTAGATGACTCATCATCTAAGAAGGGTTTCTGCTTGTTAGGGGTCTGAATTCATGGCAGTTGCCAAAGCTTGTCCAGCCCTCAGACTATTATTCCTCCTGCTCTTCACCTGGGCACCTGCTATACAGCAAGGGAGACCTGCAAAGTACCAAGTGTGACTACATAGAAGCTATGGTCAAGGCCCAAGTGGTGTTCTCCCCAATCACACTAGTTAGCCAAAAAGGCTTGAGGAGCAGACTGATCCTGCAGGTCAACAACCAGCTGTAAACTGGTGTTGGCAGCAGGGTTTTGGTTTCTATTACAATAGAATCCCCTTTGAGAATCAAGGACTGCTTGGAAGAGATGGGATCCATCTGACTATGGTGGGTAGAAGCATCTTCAAGACGCTGGCCAACTTGTTAAGAATGATTTTAAGCAAGGAACAACAGAGGAGGGAAAATATAACCAAACAGCAAGTGACAAAGTAGCGATCTCTGTTGGCAAGCAGAGGGTGTGGGATGATGTGAACAAGAGATACCTCACAGGCAAAAAACCAAGGCTGAAAATGGGTCAGCCCAAGCATATGCACATAAATAAAGGCAAGTCAACAGAAAAACACTGCAGGGAAAGCTCTCATTCTTGGGAATCCAGCAAAACTGGATGTGAAGAGCCAGCACATAAGTGCCTTGCAATGCACCATGGAGAACAAACAGAAGGAAACCAAGCTCTGTGTGTAGTTACAAGGCCATAGTCTCGTTGGGATCATAAACACATGGTAGAATGGCTCACATGACAAGGTTGCTGCAATGAATGAATACGGCTCTTTAGGAAGAAGCTGGGAACAGCAACAGGGAGATGCCTTTGTGTGACAAAACAGCACGAATGCATGAGCTCTGCCTTGGGATGGATGAGCCAGCTGAGAGATTATAGGTCAGGATGACCATGCAAATAACGACAGGTGACATTGTTATAGGTGCCCGCTACAGACTGCCTGATCAGGATAACATCATCATGGACAAACTGATGAAGTATGGACTGGTTAAGTGGATAGTGAGGTGGGTTAAAAAATTGCTAAACTGCCAGGCTCAAGGGGTTATGAGCAGGAACATGAAGTCCAGCTGGAGGCCAGTCCACTAGCAGCATACCCATGGGGTCACCACTATTAAACACCTTTGATAGTGACCTAGGTGATGGAACAGAGTGCAAGTTTCCATATAATACAAAAGTGGAAGGAGTGTTTGATACACCTGATGGTTGTGCTGCCATTTGGAAGGACCTTTACAGCCTGAAGAAATGGACTGATTGGAACCTTATGCATTTCAGCAAAATTAAGTATAAACCTCATGCACCAGTACATTCAGGGGCCCAACCAGTTAGAAAGCAGCTTTCCAGAGAAGCAGCTTGGTAGAAACCAAGCTGAACACGTTCCAGCAATGTGCCCTTGTAGCAAAGGCAGCCAGTCGCATCCTGGGCTGCGTTGGGAAGAGCATTGCCAGCAGGCAAAGGGAGGTACTATTCCGCTCTGGTGAGACCACTCTGAAGAGCTGTGTGCTAGGCTTCCCTGTGTGAAAGAGACCTACACATAGGAGGAAGTTCAGCAAAGGGCAATTAAGATGATTAACAGACTGGAGCTCTGTCATACGAGGTGAGACTGAGCAAGCTGTGTCTGTTTAACCTCAAGAAGAGAAGGCTCAGTGGGATCTTATCAATCCTGTGTATAAATATCTGATGGCTCCTTCTGCTCTATACCCTCACGTAATCTTCTCAGTTATGTGAACACTGTGTCCAGTGAACAGACAAGAAGCAGTGGGCACAAAGTAAAAGACATAGAACATAGAGAAAACATAGAGAAAAAAATGCCTCCTGTTTTCTTTAGGTTTTTGTTTGGTTTGTTTCTTAAAACTTTGAGGGCAACTGAATATTGGAACAGATAGCCCAGAGGACCTGTGGAGTCTCTATCCTTCCATATACTCAAAATCTGACTGGACTCAATTCTGGGGCAACTTGCTCTTGCAGACTCTGCTTTGAGCACGTAAGCTGGATGGTGCCTTCCAGAGGTGCCTTCCAACCTCAACTATTCTGCAATTCTTTGATGCAAACCAGAATAATTCAAACAGAAAGCTGTTCATATCAACTCTGAACCTGCACAGTCTTCATTCTCAACAAATTTTCATAGAAAATATTTTATTATCAAGACAGCACCCTCTTCACTTTCACCTTTTTTTGGTTTTCTTTTTTTTTAAGAGGTCTGGAGAAACTGGCGTGCTCTATTTGGGGTGCTGACTTTGGTAAATGCTGCTTAAGCTCCTAAGGAATGAAAAAAACTTGTCTTTCTGTGAAAACAGGTAATTCTACATATAGCCACATTTCAGATGCATCTGTAGACCCCAGAAACATCCTAGATTACACTGAGATAGTGAACTACTGCATTTTATGCTATTTAATTTTAAAGTTCACAATAACAAAAACATTATCTAATGTAACAGCTATTATTCCTTAACTTGCTTTCAAGAATGTAGCAACTTTGCAAACAATTACAGTGACTATTTCAGTTTATCACAGAACTTTATAGCGTGAAATGAATTCTAACATTGCTAATATACTGACTGCAGTTTCAAACAATCATGAGGGCCAATAACCTACCTTGCACTGGTTCCAACTTTTTAAAAAAGTTTGCATTTGTAAGTTTAGTTTTAATCCAGCTTACTTTCCTGCAAGGTCATGCAATACCTCCCTAACACAAAACTCTGTGGTTTGTTTCCATTTAAGATAGTTATCTGTAAACTACAGAGAAAAAACTGTATTAGTCATGTTCCAGATTGAAGTACCATTTAACCATAGGAAAAGCCACATCGTTATGGAATACCAGCCAAGTTTGAACTAACATCTACATAAATACAGAAAAACATATTGATAATAAACCCATGTGTATTTAATTCATTAAATAAAAAACATCTTACATTTTTTGAAGAACCTGGGCCATTACAACCCCACTTGTTAAATCTTCCACGGTCTGGCATGGTGCCTCAACATTAAATGTCTGGATCTACGGGAGAAAGGGAAAAGTGATATTATTTTACATCAATGTCAAGGGATTTTCAGCAGTAAAAGAAATGCTAACAAATAGCAAATACAGCAGAGTAAACCCTACATGTTTAGAATACGTGTTAAAAATTAAGAAGCTTTAGATTCAAATACAATCAAGGAAATGAACTACTGACAAGGATTCTTGTCAGTATCTTTATTCTCGCAAACATGCAAACTTTGCTACAAGAAACAGCAGTACATTCTCCAAAAGGCAAATTTTCCAAGTATTTTCTAATCTGAAAAGTCATCAGGGCTTCTATTGTCCCATTAAAATACTTCTGGAGTGCCTCCTTAAAGTGCAAGAGCTCTCAATATGCAGACTCGGGAAATCAGGAAAGGAGGGCAAGAGACTGGCACAGCTGAGTAAAGACCTGCTAGTCAAATGAAAGGGCAAGAAAGAGATACACAGACAGTGGAAGCAGGAACATGTATCCTCAGAAAAGTATAGCTGTCAGCTATACCTGTCAGCCTTGCCTCTCTGCCTGCAAAGATCATGGAACCCAGCCTCCTAGAAGCTACCAGGCTAGATGGGGTTTTGAGGAACCTAGTCTAATGGGAGGTGTCCCTGACCACAGCAATGATCTTCAAGGTTCCTTCCAACTCTAAACATTCTATGATTCTAAGATTTTATATAAGGATGAAATTTTATACAGTGAGGGTGGCGAAACACTGCAATAGGCTGCCCAGAGAGGTGGTAGATGTCCCATTCATCAAAATATCCAAGGTCAGGTTGGACGGGACTCTGAGGAACCTGATGTAGTTGAAGCTGTCCCAGCTCGTTACAAGGAATTGGACTGGATGACCTTAAAGTTCCCCTCCAATCAAAACTACTCTGTGATTCTATAATTAAACACATTCAATTAACGTACGCAAGGAATTCAGCTTTCCAAAGTAACCCTGATCACACAAAATTCTCATGAGCTCCTCAAACCAGAAGATCAAATGTAGAGGAACATACATACTCCAAATTTAACTCTGCCCTGCTTTCAGATGGAAGAGGAGAGCACAATGCTGCTAAACCCTAAAGGGTCTATGCACTAGTAGCGTTCTGAATTATTTCTGGGTGTTTTATTATGACAGTGACAGACAATGAGGATAACAGCAAGCCTCTGGTCTTTAGATGGAAGCTAAGACTCAAAAATGCTCCTATTCTGAAGGGGAATGGCAAGTACCATAGGACTGAGCTACTTGATGACCAGATTACTTATGACTAAAGATGATTGAGTTTATAACAAATTCCCTTCCACTGACTGCATGTTGAACACACTTATACACTTACTGAGACCACCCTAAAGTTAACTTTCTGAATATGCTATGTAATATTCTAGATTACGCATAAGCAAGAATAATCTCTTAGCAAAAAAACACTCAACAATATAAGTATTTTTTGTATGGCTTCTATTCCTCAACTTAGTTTAAATGCATTTAGCATACAGGTTATCTAAAACCCTTCCCCTACCACACCAGCAAATGTACAAACACACAAGGCAAAGCTCTTTTCTCCCTTTCTTGGTGTGCAAAAGAGCCTTTCCGCTTCAGCACAACCTTTTCAACTTGTCTAAGTTATTTGATCATTTACTTTAAATGAACATTATTTTTAAAGGATGTGGATGAATTTTCTGAAAATAGTTTTGATGACATACCACTTGGAGCCTCATGCTCTCCTCTTAAGGGGAAGCCTGCGCCTATCTGTAGGAAGCACTACTCTTATGCACCGGGGATAAGAAAGCCTGCAAGATGCCTTGCAGCTTCAGGCTACATAAATGTTAGATGTCAACCATTTTTTTTCTGAACATAATGTAAAACCATTCATGCTTTAGTGGCATTTGAAACACTAAAGTTGGCCCAAGCCATTTCCCAATGAATGCCATCTAGATAGGTATCTCACAATTAAATTCATGTTACAGTGTTACAATTCATGTAACAGTAAGAAATTTTGCAGGTCCTCTTTTGAGGGGAAGGGTCTCAAAAAAATCAAGAGCACAATATCCACATTCTCATATTACCTCTGGGAGGTCACATAAGCACTCTAGCAGTACCATTTAACACTAATTTGGAGAACAAGGACGTAGGTGAATGTTCCTTTCTTTCCTTTGGAAGGAAAAAAGAATACCTGGTACTTGACTAGGGAAAAACCCAGCAATGATGTCCCTGAAGATCGAGAAAACCAAGATGCATGCTCTCTGCTGTTTTGTAACTGCTGTTTTATCATCTTACTTACCTAACACCTTATACACAAGAAAAGGTCAAAACTGTTATTAAGGTTCAGGTAACCAGCTTGAACTCTTTTTTTCCCCACAGTCACACATGCAAGTTTGCCATTGAGGACAACAATGCTTTTCATAGATGACAAAGAACAGAAAGAAACACTTAAACCAATTCTATGACTTGCTTCTTCACATACATTTAAGTTTTGTAATGAATGTCTCTGCTTGCACAGGAAAAGAAACCACAGCGTGGTATTTCAGTTAAGGTGTCAAATTTATCCTACAAAACATTTATTCAGTTCTTAAAACAAAATAACTATATCCTTTCCATATCCTTCAGAGATACCAAAGTAACACAGAAAACTTACATAAAATGTTTTACAAATTTACATCAAAGTTAAACCCCTATATAATGCTAAACCACTCTTAAGAAACAGAAGTGTTCATTTTCCAGAAGGAAGAAGAATTATAAGAATGTAGCAATGCAGAAGCAGTGTCCAGCTGTTGAGACAAAGAAGCAAATATTTTTTTTGTGTGTGCCTCCACACAACTATTCACTAACAGCTGTTAAAACACTGCTGTTCCTGTGCATTATGATGTATTTCCTCCTGGAAGACCTCTCTCATCCTGCTGGAACTGCTCCTACTTCTTGAGTGTTTGCAATACTGTTCCCATCGTTAGTTCCCCAAAGCTGTAAGTTAATTCCCATTCCCTGTTATGATTTTTTTTCCCACTTCTTATACCACTGTGTGGAGCCTTCAAATCATGCCTGAAGGACAGGATGCCATCCAAAGGGACCTGGACATGCTCGAGGAGTGGGCACGTGTGAAATGCATGACTTCTTCAGCCAGATCAGGTTGTTCAAAGCCTCGTCCAACCTGACCTTGGATGTTTCCACAAATGGGACTTCTACCACCTCTCTGGGCAGCCTGTTCCAGTATTTCACCACCTTCACTGTAAAAAAATTCATCCTTACATCTAATCTAAATCTTCCATCTTTTAGTTTAAAACCATTACCCCTTGTCCTGTCACAACAGGCCCTACTAAAAAGTCTGTCCCCATCTCTCAAATATTGAAAGGCCTCCCCAGAGTCTTCTCTTCTCTAGGCTGCAGAACCCCAACTCTCAGCCTCTCTGGTGCTCCAACCCTCTGATCATTTTAGTACCTCTCCTCTGGACCTTCCCCAACAGGTCCATGTCTTTCCTGTGCTGAGGATTCCAGAGCTGGACGCAGAACTCCAGGTGGGGTCTCACCAGAGCAAAGGAGAGAGGCAGAATCACCTCCCTCAGCCAGATGGCCACACTTCTTTGGATGTAGCCCAGGGTATGGTTGGCTATCTGGGCTATGAGCGCACATTGTCAGCTCATGTCCAGGTTTTCATCCACCAGTACTCCCAAGTCCTTCTCTGCAGGAGAATCTCTCAATCCATTCATCCCCCAAGGCTGTATTGATACCTATGTTTGCCTTGACACAGGTACAGGACCTCACTCTTGGCCTTGTAGAACCTCACAAGGTTCACACATGCCCACTCCTCGAACCTGTCCAGGTCCCTCTGGATGGCATCCTGCCCCTCAGGCATGTCAACTGCACCACTCTTCTGGTGTTGCTGGGGATGCACTCGATCCCATTGTCTGTGTAATTGATGAAGATATTGAACAGCACTGGTCCCAATACAGACCCCTGAGGGTCACCATTTGCCACTGATCTGTATCTGGACATTGAGCCATTGACCACTGCCCTCTGGATGTGACCATCAACCAATTCCTCGTCCACTGAACAGTCCACCCATCAAGTCCACAGCTCTCCAGTTTAAAGGGAAGAATGGGAGAGGGTGCAGTCACACTGCATCAAAGGCCTTACAGAAGTTGAGATAGATGACATCCGTAGCTTTTCCCTTCTCCACTGATAGAGTCACTCCATCAAAGAAGGCCACTAGGTGGTTCAGGCAGGACTTGCCCTTGGTGAGGCCACGCAGGCTGTCTCAAATCACCTCCCTGGCCTCCATGTGCCTTCACATAGCTTCTAGGAGGCTGGGTTCCATGATCTTTGCAGGCATAGAGGTGAGGCTGACAGGTTGGTAGTTCTCAGCGTACTCCTTCCTACCCTTTCTTAAAATGCGTCCAGTGTTTCCCCTTTTCCAGTCACCAGAGACTTCCCCAGACTGCCATGACTTTTCAAATGTCATGGAGAGTGGCTTGTCAACTATATCAGCCAGCTCCCTCGGACTGTGGGATGCATCTCAGAAGGTCCCATAGATTTCTGTATGTTCAGATTCTTCACGTGGTCACAAACCTTGATCTTTTCATACAGTGGGAGGGACTTTTCTCCCCCAGTTCCTGCCTTACTGTCCATCCACTCAAGATGTGTGGGGAGATAGGTTGCCAGTGAAGACTGAGGCAAAAAAGTTGTTGAGTATCTCAGCTTTCTCCTTGTCTGTTGTTACCAGCTTGCCAATCTTGTTTATTGGGGGAGGGTGGGTATATGCTTTCTTTGACCTTCCTTTTCTGGATGACATACCTGTAGAAGCCCATCTTATTAGTCTTTGCGTTGCTTGCCAAGTTCCGCTCTAGCTGCACCTTGGCCTTCCTGACCTCATCCCTACACAACTGGGCAGTATCCCTATACTTTTCTGAGGATACATGTCTCTGCTTCCACTGTCTGTGCATCTCTTTCTTGTCCTTTCATTTGACTAGGAGGTCTTGACTCAGCTGTGCCAGTCTCTTGCCCTCCTTTCCTGATTTCTTGCACTTGGCAAAATCTGAC